CGGAAATTGCCACACTCTTCTACACCAACCTCGATTTCCACTGGGCATTCGGTTCGTTCGCTATCATGCAAGTTGGGGTTTGTATTCCCGTCGCTGCGGTGATGTTATTTATGCAACGTCGGGCTGAGAAGAGCGGTGCTCTTGAGAAGACTCGTTCTGGACGGGTCTGGTGGCAGACCATTACTCACTATCTCATCGAATTTGATGGTATTTACCCCCATATATACAGCCTGTTTTGGAATTAGAATGTCTAACGAGATTTAACCCAGTTATCGGAATTATCTTGATCACAGCCGCATTCTCTCTTATCCTGATTCCATTCAGCATAGCTACATATGGGCCCAAGGGATGGGCGACTGGATACATCATCGCGATGGAAGTCCTCGGCGTAGCGTGCGTGCCCGCATTTTACATCTGGGAGCGATATTGTTCACCGGTGCAGTTCCTCCCGTGGAAGTACCTGAAAGAACCCACGATCATCGGCTCGTGCATGCTGTACGGCGTGATGTTCATCTCCTGCTTGTGAGTGCCAGTATCTTCCCCTTACCATCAAAGCGAGCATGTACACAAACCAACACCCGCAAACTAGTACCTGGAACAACTACTTCGGCTCGTATCTACAAGTCGTCAACAGACTCGACATCACGACAGCCAACTACGTGCTCAACGCTTTCTCCCTGACTTCTTTCATCTTCAGCCCTATCTTTGGCCTGTAAGCACACCCCACCACCTGGGCACACCACACAATCTTCCTATACAAAGCCTAACAAATATCCTCTTCTCCAGAGTAATTAGCTGGACAGGCGACTTCAAATGGACCGCCATGGCCGGCGTCCCAATCTTCCTCTTAGGAACAGCTCTCCTGGTCCCGTTCCGCGCACCTGACACACACGTGGGTCTACTAACAATGATCCAAATTCTGGTGGGACTCGGTAGCTGCCTGTTCACGGTGTGCGGACAGCTAGCGATAATGGCGCCGGTAACACACCAAGAAATCGCGGTCGTGAACGCGGTCTGGGGATTATTCGGGTCGATCGGAGTGGCGGTGGGATCTGCCATTGCCGGCGGGATGTGGAATAATATCCTCGAGAAGGAGTTGTATAATCGGCTGCCCCAAGAGAGTAAGCAGCTTTCAGCGAGCATCTTTGCGGATATGGTGAAGCAGATGTCATATGCGGATGGGACGGCGGAGCGAGATGCTATTGTTAGAGCTTACGCTGATGTTCAGAGAAAGATGGCGATTGTTGGGGTTTGTTTTGTGCCACTTTGTATTCTTTGTACTTGGTTTTGGAGGAATGTTAATGTTAAGAAGTTGGAGAGGGAGCAGACGGCTGGGAATGTTTGGTAGGGAAGTTTTTGGGGATTGAATAGAGATAAAATAGTAATATGTCACATCCATGGACGCTATATAGAAAATGTGTAATGGATGAAATATTTCATTTGTAGCGTGGTTTCTGCCACTAGATTTGTGTAGATGCGCTGGAATTCTAGATATCCTACAGCAGGGGTATAGTATGTACATAGTTTGATGGCATCCAGTCTCTCGCGAGGGACGGATAGGAGTCTTCTTCCTGCACCGAGGTGAATCGCCGAGATGAATCTCGCGATTAATTCGATACTAAGCGTTGGACTTAGATCGTGATCCAAACAGACCACCGTGGCCCCATTGAGACAGCAAATGTGTCTGGAAGCACAGGGACATCTATAGATAGCCCAGTTGGCCGGTGAGATGCCCACGGGCAACGGCATCTCAAGGAAGATGGAGTAGACCAAAGTAACATGGTCTGTAAAAGCTAGCTGGCGAGATCATATTGAGATCTTTCAGCTGCCCATAGACTCCTCGGGGACCTCCCGGAAGGTCTCTGGGAAGAACCCAGGCGGTGGCCAGATATCCGCTATAGAAGGCGGATGAACCAGTGGCTGTGATCCGCCCAAGCGATCCGGGTCATGACAGAAAGCCTGGAATGTGCTATCGTCCAAGAAGCCAAAATCTTTTAGACCAGCCTCACGGTTCGTGGACCATTCAGTGGTATCGAGGTATGCGAGGTCTTTGAAGATGGCGTCGATGTCCCCGGTGGAAGCCATGTTTCCAGGCATCATTGGGTTTGAGGTTGTCGAGTCGGGAGTCTGGGGTTGTGGTTGTTGATGTTGTGCGCTGGCTGTGCCATACACAGAATCTGCTCTGCTGCGCGGAGTGATCTTATCTGGTAGAACTGACTGCACATCCCTTGGGTGGTGTGGTGACAGGCCCATCATGCCTAGATCTGTGTTTTCCATTACGGTGTCTTTGGGGGTCAAAGATTGCCCATCGGCTGGCATACTGATTCCAACAATAGAAGAAGTGTAATCTACTTCGCCGTTTTGAGGTAGGCTGCGAGCTCCGCCTGGGGGTTGCATGGAGCCTACCATGGGTGCACTCGAATATGGATGACCGAATGCCCCGGGGAAAGTGGACGGCCCTCCAACATCTTTAGAGTACTGCCACCTCTCCATGGCGGAAACCAAAGATCCATAGGCCGGCCACGTGGAGGTGAAAGCTGCCGTTTTGTGTCGGAACTCTTCTGTCCACCTGACAAAGGGGAAGGTGTCCGATGAGTCGGCGGTGTTGCGAAGTTTGAACGCTTGCTCCGCAATGGTGCGAAGACTTAGCTCGAACAAGGGTGGAAGAGAGCACATGGAGAAGTTTTCCAAGTGTTGGGTGACCATAGAGAGCCCTCGGTAGAGGAGCTTCTTGGCCCCCTCTGTAGCCGGGCGTTGTGAACGGTGCAACCCCTGCTCACCTGATATTAACTGAAGATAGAGCCAAAGCAGGGTGGCCACATAGGTCAGCCCTAGGTAACTCTGATGGGGAAGTAAAGCTGAATGCCGCTCTGGATATATGCTTTCTGGTCCAATCAGGCGGCATCCCAGAGGTAGGCAGTCATCCCATTGCTTAAGCTCCATGACCAATTGCTGCGCAAAGGTGGCCATGTTGTATCCCGAAGACATGTGACGGGAGATTTTATTGAGAACGCTCGCCAACTCAACCAGGCGGTTGAAGCAGCTCAGGGCCAAGAGTGGTCCTCGACGCGGCGGGTTCTTGCTGCCCTGCGGAGCACCCGTGGGTGGTAAAACGTCCACCCAAGAGTTCCACTCCTCCAGTCCATCTTCTTCCAAAAGTCCCACCGCAGTGAGATCGCTTGGAGGCATGGCTGGGCTCCGCGAAAGGCGGAAAGAGAGCATAGAATCAACTACAAAGCATCCCAAGAGCACCGCCTTACCTTGTCTGAGTTCATCAGACCGCCGGTTGTCGGACACAGTTCCAAGACCCATGGCAATCGCCATACGCACTGCTTGGCCGCTCAAGAGCCAAGCCGCGGTCCAATCTTCGAGGCCCATGTTCACCAATGTCAGCAGCAGTAATGCCTGAATATGACCAGGTTCATAACGCTCTTTCTCCATGGGGATAAGATCCCGTGAGGTGGCATAGTAGTCCTTCGCCAGGGCGACTGTTCCAGCGGGACCGGCCCGTGGATTTTTTCGCGATTGAGTGATAGTGTAACTCAAGATTGCCCACAGGGCGGCATGATCGCCGGACCCAGGTGAGGTCGTGGCAACAGAGAAAGGGGCGTTGGCGTAAAGATACGAAGCGCGGAGAATGTTATGCTTGGCGACCACGGGGAACCATGAATGCGTGACCGCAAAGTAGATATCGAGCAGCTGCGACGTTTGAGGTGGCAACTGCAGCGTTTGGGGACTAGGACCAGCGATACCCCGACCATCCGACTCTTTCGACAATCGAGCCCGCTTTACACCCGATGCGGCAAAGGGCTCAACTACACGCGGAGCACCAGGGCCAAGTGGGGTGGAAGTGCGAGCTACTCGAAACCCCCATTGATCGTCGGGACCATCATCTTGGTTGCGCGATCGCTTCCCGGTCGCGGGGCCCGGCGCATCAGAACTAGACAACATTTTCTCCAGCGCGCCGAATAATCGACTCGTTTTCCAAGATTCGTGTAAACTCTCCGAGGCACTATCGTCCGACCACACGGACATCAATTGCTCGCGACGACTGGCGGATTCAGCGGTATTTCCTAGCATGGCCAGCATGGTATCCTCGAACCCGTCAATGTTGCAGATCGACAGCGCCCACAACTTTTCCAAGCCACGGACATAGCCCTCGGGAAGACCGCGTTTCTTCGCATGGGGATCGTAGGAGCAGGACTGACCCGATGCCTGACAGGCGGAACAAGTGGGACGAATGCCGTCGCATTTATCCTATGATCGCCAGAGATGTTAGAATGGGCGAGATATACTAAAAGAACATGGCGAGACGCGACTCACTTTCTTACTGCGACAGCGATCGCAAGCTCGGGACACCCTCTTGCGCCGAGGGGCCTTTTCCGATCCCTCATCCATAGAGAGGGGTTATTAGCGCATGCGACACGCCATGTAGAGAAAAGGAGACTAGAAGCTCTGTCGCAAGTTGAAGTTCAATGAATCGGGCAGGTTGAAAGCTAAAGTCGCGCGGGCCGTATAACAGACAGGCCGAGACTCGGAACGGGGAAGAAGAAGAGTATCCCCAAAGGAGAAAACTGGAGTAACCAAATCAGCCTCCACGGCAAAATTCACAGATAGGCCGAGCGAGGGAGGATCTCGGAGGTGAAGTTCGGGATGTGAACTCGGAATTATCGGGGGCTCCACCCCCACAATCCCATCTTCCGAGGTCCATCTATTTGACAAAGTGGATTTGTATTTATACATATATTGAACTATTCTGTATAGGAGTTCTGATATATAGGGGGTTTATATGAGTTAAGAGTATAACTGAGGCAGTAAGGCAGTAAGGCACCAAGGCATACACCCGACTCAAGCCGACGCTTAACCCGATTAGGACTTGATATATAGTCCCTGGATATAATGGTATCTCATGTTGTAAAAGGTAAGAAGCATTGTATTTCGATCCTTTAGTTAAATGTATAACAAAGTGGAAAGATATATTACACCCCGTACAGCTATGTCTATTCGTATGTCTGGAGAAGTGTAGGTCGCTCTACACGCATCGATGTAAAGGTGCAGCGTGGAAGGTCCTGCATAACTTTCCCTTTGCCTTGCATATCAAGCACATTCATCTCGACATGAGCTTCCCCGGCCACTGCAAGGGGTGAAAAATAATCCGCAGAGGGGGAATGCTGATTCAAATGAATCTCCCCCCACATGATGGGTTTCAGTGCTGCATCCACATCATCTTCCGGTGGATGACAAGCAGCGCTGATTGCAGCACTGCAACTCCCAGCAAGTGGTATAACCGAGCGAAAAGGTCTCATTGCTAAGCCCAAAAGTGCCATGATCATCAAAGACCCAACGATGATGGTCAATATGAGAGCAATCGGCGACCACGCGCACGCATCAACGTCAAGGCTTGGGTCGTGATACATGTCTGCATCATACATATATATTTGGACATAGAAGATGGCTTGAGACAGAAGCCAGTGCAGCACAGTGTATGTTAACATTAGTGGGACACTGTATCGGAATGGGAGACTGAGGAAATAGAATGAGCGTTGAGCACCACTCCGATTACTCGACACGCGAAGTCCCTTTGCCGGTTGAATTTGCAGTGTTTCGACTGTGGAATTGTGGCGCATCCCCCTAATTGCGTAATTCTCATATTCGTTTGCCATGAACATTGCAGTCAAGGTAGCATTGTAGAAGTAGTATGAGACGGAAAGAAGAAGTTGTGGGGTATTGGCTAGAAGAACATTGCCAAGTAAGGTGGTGTGCAAGCGATATATCAATGTGTAGGGACTAGCAGAGCCTAGTCCAAGACTCCAGAGAGCAGACCAATGTGTCCCACCGACGGAACCTAGTCTATTGTCTTGCAAACCGCGATGGAGTAGAAATCCTGCCACACCAAGACATGATAAAGATCTGTCATTTACAAATTAGTATAATCCAGTCCACTTTGAGGGCCGTGTAACATACAGACCGAGCGTAGAAGCCCATTGCCCGATAGCAGCAGCTTGCCACCATCGCCGTGTACGAGTATCTAACCTCTGTTGAGCAACCCCCTCATATCTATGTTTAGCTGCCCCATCCAGCCGGGAGCGCCTGATCCAATCGGATTTTGATGATGTGCAGCACCCAGTGGTAAATGGATCCGGATTTGAGAGGAAGGACGCGATTGCATCACCAACGGTCAAAAGCCGGTGAGCTCGCTCTCCGCGGGCGACAAACAGAATACAAGCAACTTTGACTGCTGTACACACAAGCACCACAAGGGAAAAGGTCGGGCTGAAAAGGAGCTGACATCTTTCCTCGCCCTTGATACTTATACAACCATCAACAGTGTAAAGTCCAATTGAGGGATAGTCAAAGTAACCAATGGTATTGGGCGAGTTCAGAATTTGATATCTGGAGCACTGTGAGCCAGACTGCTGATAGGTTACTTTTTCTGCCCAAGTCATCTCGTCCCCCCACACAGAACTTGATCCAAGGTATTGTTGAAGATCTTGTGTTGTGACAGGTAGGATTCCACCCGGCGGGGTGACGGAGGTTCCCCAGAGGAACCAAGCCAGAGAGAACATGTTCAAGCAAGATGACGTCTCGTTGCTGCAACGTGTGTAGTTCTCTTGAGTATATGTCACCGAGCCATTATCCAAAGGTGCAGTGATGGTCCATGTTGGTTCTTCCAAAACAGATGCCAAGATCTTCCAATCAGATATCTGCTTCTGGATTGTTGATGAGGTGCAGACAGAGTCGTCGCGGGAGGGACACATCCAAGAAAATGGGCTCCGTGCCTCGACTGATTCATAGTCTATTGGGGAGTTTGCAATCGCCGCAAATTTGACGGGGTCTTCCAGGTCCCAGGTCAGATTATTTGACAAGACAGCCAAAGACCTGTGGCCGTGGAGGTAGCTCACGGCGAATGTGTTCCGACATTGTTCTTTAGACAGGATGTCGAATCTGCCATCTGCAATATCCAGGTTAAAGTCGGCTAGTGATTGGTGCATACGGGATTGAAAGCATTTGGAGGAATGAGGAAGACTCAGCGGCCGACTGCCCGTATAATCTGATGGCACGACAAGGACTCTGTATTCATTCGAGCTTTGGGAACTGAGAAGTACGGAGTTGTAGCTGCAAGCAAATCACAGGTTAGAAGTACAAGTTGTATTTCGTGGGAAGCGGTAACGAACAAGGCATGAATGGGAATTGTAGAAACCATTAAGAGAGCCCATAGGATCTGTTTTCTTGTTTCTAAGTTGAAGATATTTCGGAGACTAGGTACTCCGATATCGAGCCAGGATCCGTGTGCATGCGCTTTATCAATATCTTTTCTCGTGGGCGCAGCTAGAAACTGCGCACAAAAGTTGCTCGTGGACAGAATAAGTGTCCCCAGTCCGTTGATCAACAAGTGCAGTCCGATTGACCAATTTCTCGTCGTCGAACAACTACCCACATACAGCGGGACAGTCAAAAACCCACTTTCACTCGACTTCGAATAGCCAATGCTAAACGCAATTATCGCCAAGATGAAGTTCAGTCCTAGCACAATGGAAGCCACGGTTGCGCAGACTTGGATTCCTTCATAAGACCTGAGTCTTTCCAAGAACGACCGATATTTGAGGCCCCTGCTTGAGCCACTGTCAGAACACATAGCGAGATGCTTCGGGACCATGGGCAGCTTTCAAAGTATTGGGACATGTGTCAGCGTAAACTCCCTGGTTCTGGCTAAGTGCTGATGCCAAGGAGCTAAAGGCACTAAATGCTTCAGGGTACTTTTTTATCCAGTAATATCTATATATACATGTCCCACTTTAGCGAACTAGACTAGTACATGACACGGTACGGGGTATCATAGTATGTAAGTAGGCCTAGAAGGTTGTCATTATGGATGTTGTATGCATTATGTATCACATAGATCCACTCGCTCTAGGGCTTTGTCATCTATGTATATGAGTTTCCAGCATCCACGGGGTTTGCTGCATTTACTTTTTCAGGAGTTATCCCTCACTTCTTCATTCTTAGTTTTTTGAATTGACTGTACTCTTCCTTTTGCTGAAGACCTGGCAGGTAACAATATGAAACCTATGCCTGATCAAAGCCGACGCTTAACCCTATTAGGACTTTATATAACAAAGGTCTTACAGCAAGCATGGTAATGTAAAAGGTAAAGCCGAAGTATTTCCTTTCTATCTTACAAGACTGGACCTATTCCTAGAGTCCCTATGCCACAATGAACACTTGAGTGCAAACATAATATTGACAGAAGGGCGAGCTTTATAAAATAGATGGTATAAGCCTGCATTTTGAACCGTTTTATCCGAGAAACGCACCGCTTCCATGAGTGATTTATCGGACCAATCTAGAAATACAAGCCCAATTCCCAGATGAAATCCTTTCACAATTATATTTTTAGAACTCCGTGCAAGATCCAATACAAGGCACATGAAGTATAGTCTTTACATTTATATTTTCAACATTTACAGGTTCATCAAGTCGTTTCGTATATTGTGGGACCAGTCGCGTACTTGTGTCAGTGTGATTTGAGATGGCCAAGGGGAAGACATCATTGATCTACACTTCATGCGTGATATCACGAGCGCCCTACGAAGCCCGACGCCGCAAAATTAGCCCAAATAGTATATCAAATTCCCGGAATGCCCGCTAAACGTTACTTTAGAGCTAAATGATAAGTATCTGGAACACCGGCCTAGTTTTGTATGCGCATCAGGTAAGAAATAGGCTGTATAGAGTAGGCTGAGTGTCGATTGGCTGTCATCGCTGCGCAAATAGGAACAATCACGTTGTAGGCGCCACTAGGTATATGTGGACGCTTTATCTACAGGGATCTTAATCCACTCCATTGACGCCATGCATAGGCTTTCCGCTAGGGGCCTTCTGATTTTCCGCTAGCTCGTTCTTTCTGAATCATTATCACGGCCATGCACACTCAAGCATTTTGTGGGTACATTGCGTAAGCTTCACAATTGATAACACTGGTAATGAGGTGATAAAGTTAATATGGCTTTCTGTTCTGATCTATACTATCCTACCTTTCTAGTCCTAAGTTAGAAGGTAGCTGCACTGGAATTTCTCTTTTTTGGTCTTTAGTCTCCAAGTGCGGGAAGCATCATATACATATAGCTAGCCGCGGCAGGGCTTAAAGGACCTAAACACAGTATTGACACTCGCTGACCCGCATTAAATATCTATCCTGGGACAAATTTATCGCAAGCTGTTGATTTCGTCTGGGAGTTGTGTGTATCGCCGCTCCTGGCTCCTATAGAGTCCTGAACTTAGATGTAACCGTAAGCTAGCGCGTTATTTGTTGAACAGTCCCTCGATTAATTGGTTATTGCAGGGGTACTACTATTATCGCTTGGAAATAGTTTCAAAGGTTTGGAAGGTGGCTTAGTTGAAGCAAAGCAGGTTTCTTCTATTCCTGATTCAGATGTTCAGCTCTTAACAGCTGTTTCAGCGTCCAGGGGCTATGAATAGTAAAGACTTTATATATTTATTTGCACACTTAACAACTTGAGTATATATAGCAACTAGTATTCTCAAATAGAGACATGGTGCATTGTCAGTTTCAGTCTATTTTCTCTACTTCCTCAATTGGCTCCAGTATATCCCATCATAAGCAATAAACGTCAGTCTTCGTTTCGCTGCATGAGCGCGCTTCTCTCTCTGTCAGCAGAAACAGGCAGCGGTTTGGCTATGCGGCTTACCATTGGGGGATCCTCATTTCTCCCCAAACCCCCAAAGGGCCAGACAGCTATGCTTTCGACGTTAGCGACGGGATTATTCTCGATCCAGTGCGAAGACTCAATCTTAATGAGGGAGGCAATACTGTCCAAGACCCGGGATCAGATGCTCTCTTCCTTGCCAGAAAATTTGTGGATCATCCAATCGCCTCCAAAGGATTTGTTCTGCTTTAAGCTCGTCATCATATCTCTTCTCCAAAGCATTTTCCAATCCATTATACCATTCTGGCCGATCAACTTGACCATAGTGTGCCTTGGTATACTCCCAATATTCTGGGTACCAGTGGCCAAATTGCCAATCAACGATGGCAGAGACCTTGCCATTATCCACCATGATATTCCGAGGGGCGAGATCTGCATGAGTAAAGCAGCTTCGGTAGTGACGGGAGTGGCATTCGGCGACCTCTGGACCCAATGCTTCCTTGGGTATATCCGCTCGAAGATAGGAGTGGAATCCTTCATGGCTCATAAATGGCCCGAAAGTCCAACATCCGATTCGATGATCAAAGGCCTTGCCGAAAGTCGCCGATACAACTATTCCTTCTTGGGGAGGTTCTAGTTTTCGAAGCTGGCTAATGTAGCCCGCGACCTGATCGATAATGTGCTTCTTCTGATCTGGCGATAGGTAACCGCGGTGCCATGCTTTTTCGAGACTCGCTCCACGGATATACTCCATTTCAATATAGAGCCTATCATCGTAATAATGGGTGTTGAAGACTTTGGGGACAGGAATCGAAGTGTGTTCAACGACGTATTTCAGGGCTTCTGGCTCCGGCATATAGCAAGGCTCTTTGATCATTATACCAGGGCTGACTTGGACTCCATGTAGTCCGAGTTTGGCTCCAACTATTTTCTTGCCAATCCATAGTCGGAGTGGAAGAAGATAGGGGGTTTCTCTCTTTCGCCTTGGGCTCACTGGTTACAATTATTAGCATGACTTCGACTAATCAATCAGGCTCATTACCCCAAACGTACTCAAACGCACATTTAGGACGCAGGATCGATTGTATGCAGATAGCCAAGACGACAAGCTAAAGACAGAAGTGCCATCTGATTTGAGGATCGCTTCAAGAGGAAATAGATGGTCACATGACTATTTCAAGATTCCTAAAGATATTATTTTATATATCTATAGAAAAACACTGAACTCTTCGATAATTCCGAGATATATAGAATTGACATGTTCAACTCCATTGTGGAAAAGCCTTTTGCCGCTGTGGCCGGCAATTCCCAGTTTCTCATCCGGGGAACCTGGGCATTCTACAACATACATACTCAGATTCCAGTTATTCCACACACAGTCTCAACATCTCGCATTCGATATATGTATGCAATTCTATGCCTTGAGTGCATCTGATCATGGCGCTCGTTCACTCGACCTAGATCTCAATTGATCCTCTCACCATGCTCGATCCCAAACCCCCAATTCCCACGGTCGACCAATCCGACATCTCATATACCAAGGAATCCTCTTCTCCCACGCCCCGTCCCGAGTCCGCTCCTCGCACCTTTGCTCCCAATGCATCCCTCGTCCTGGTCGGCATCCGTGGATGCGGCAAGCGCTCGCTAGGCTTTGTCGCCGCGACTGCGCTGAAGCGACGCTTCATTACCGAAGACCACTACTTCCGGGAAGTCACGGGTGTCACGCGACAGGAATACCTCAAACGGTATGGCAGTCAGGAGTTCCAGCGTCGGGACATCGATGTTCTGAAGTCGATGCTGGATAATCACCGCACGGGCTGCGTTATGGAGTGTGGACTGGCCAGTCTGACGCGACCTGTGCAGGATCATCTGCGTCGCTATGCCTGGTCCAACCCAGTGGTCCATCTGCTACGCGATATCGATCGCATTCAGCAATTGCTCGGCTTGGAGGACCAGGCAGTGCGGTTGTTCCGGGAAGGGGACCCGATGCATCGAATGTGTTCGAATTTCGAATTCTATAACCTTGAAGATCGGACGCGTACGTCGGACGATGCGAGCCCGGATCGCCGGTCTGCGGATTATTCTTTCAAGTTGCAAGAGGTGAAGGAGGATTTTACGCGGTTTGTGCAGTTCATTACTGGACTCGATGTGAATTATTCGAGCTATGACTCGCCGTTCGTTCTGTTAGAGACACCGCCAGAATTGCGCTCTTTTACCCATGCGATCTTCGTACGATCTTCAGATCTGATCGCCGACAAGGTCAACCTGACTGAACTGGAGTCTGGTGGAGATGCTATCGAGCTGTGTGTTGATCGCTGGGGCCCAGACATGGCAGCCACTGTCAGCAAACAGGTCTCTGTCCTGCGACGAAATGCGCGGACGCCTGTGATTCTCTCCATTGACACCTCCTCCACTGGAATCGGCTCCCCGGAATTACCCACCTCTTCTGCTCGACCTTACTTTGATATTCTCGAGCACGGTCTACGCCTTGGCGTGGAATATCTTGTTGTAGACCTGACTCAAGATCGATCCCGGCTGGCTGGGACTATCAGAGGTCGTGGGAGTACCAAGATCATCGGCCAGCAAGTCTTTGAACCATCTTCCCCCATTACATGGGACAGCGCGGGCTGCGTGGCCATCTACAATGAAGCCGAAAAGCTCGGCTGTCAGCTCGTCCGCCTCCTTCGAGTCGCTACAAAACGTGAGGACAATGCCGCTGTGATTGAGTTCTGCAATAAAATCAAGTCACTCCCGGAGGACCACCCACCACTCATTGCCTATAATATCGGCGCCCTGGGCCGCACCTCGCAAGTGTTCAACTCGATCCTCACCGCGGTAACACATCCAGCGATCACCCAGTCCCCAGAGAACAAGAACGACCCGCAAATCACCTCTCGCGACGCCGTCCGCGCACTTTTCCAAAGCTACATGCTCGACCCGCTCAAGTTTTATATCTACGGGGAAAATGTCGCCTACAGTCTATCCCCGGCCATGCACAATGCCGCACATACCCACTGTGGTATGGGCCACACCTACAGCATCCCAGAATCACCCTCTCTCGCAGTCTTAGACCGACTAGGCCGAGACCCGCACTTCGGGGGATCCAGCGTCGTGCAGCCATGGCGCGTACAAGTATACCAAAAGCTCGCCTCGAAAAGCCGACACGCCGAAGCCATCGGGGCCATCAATACAATCATGCCGCTCCGCGGGCACGCAGATGGAACCATGTTCCCACTCCAAGAACAAGCTAGCCGACGCAACCAAGCCGGACGGGTACTAGGCTGGTACGGAGAGAACACCGACTGGGTCGGGATAATGACGTGCATCAGGCGACATCTCTCACCACGCAACGCGATCAGCGCAAAAACGACAGGTCTGGTCATTGGTGCGGGCGGCATGGCGCGGGCCGCCATCTACGCCATGCTCCGACTTGGGTGTCGGAAGATCTTCATTTACAACCGCACACAGTCGCGTGCCGAAGAAGTCGCGCACCATTTCAACTCCTGGGCCTCGTCGCAGGTGGGCTCGGGTGAAGTGGTTTGTGTCTTGCGGTCACTTCAGCAAGATTGGCCTGCGGACGCTGCTCAGCCTAGTCTTGTTGCGTCCTGTGTGCCAGCTGATCCAGACCGAGATGAACCACCGGCGAACTTTGAGATGCCGGCGCAGTGGCTTGGGAGTCCTACGGGGGGTGTGGTACTTGAGGTGAGCTTTCTGGGATATGTGTACTTTTTGTCACGTACTAATTGAATATAGTTGGCCTATAAACCCCTCGATACACCACTTCTACGACAAATGCGCCGAGTCCGGAGCGAGACTGGACGGCCTTGGGTCTTGTCTGACGGGTTAGAGAATGTTACTGAACAGGGCATTGCTCAGTTCGAGTTGATGACAGGTCGCAAAGCACCTCGGCGGCTTATGACCTATGAGGTTCTACGTAATTATGTGGGTGACAGTGGGCGTTTTGATGAGAAAACTATACAAGCTCGTCTAGACGGGGTTGCGTCTCCGAGTCGGGAAAAGGAATAGATGGCTTTTGGTATGGCTGTGATTATTCCTGACTTTTGCTTTGTATATATAAAAACAACCTCAGCTTATTACTCGACTCGATCAATATAATCCCTCAAAACGCCAAGACATGCGATAACAATCTCCTATCGCACACCGCCCGGGCATTCGTTTGTTTGGTTTCCTCGTCAGCTTCACATTCGAAGATTTATCTTGTTTCCTTACACTTTTTAAACCATTTTAATCTTCAAATTGGCTTGGAATACGGCATACCAATGCCAGGCTTTCCGCCAGAGCAAACCGACTCGATAACGGCATGGAAGAAACGCAAGCGGGATCATGAGGAGGCAAGGACTCTAGCATGTCCGTAAGTTTGTGTTTCTTTCAGTGGGTGTGAGGTGACAGATAGACTAACATGATCACTAGAACAACATGTGTCCCGTCTTGTAGAGTCGATCGGCCCGAATACGACGGTAGTTGCTCATTGCCTCTATCACGACACCCAGACGGAACAGACGTCTCCTTCCGACCACGCTGCCTCCCCCGCAAGCGCCGACATGTCCAAAGCCATTATCTTACACTTCCATCCCAGCACCAACATCAACTCCAACAATCTCCAACCCACCTCTCCCCAAATGTCTACGGCACGCCAAACCAAGACCCATACTCACCCCCGGTCTCCCCCAAAACACTCGTGCCCCTCCACTACCCTACCCAACAATCGGCCTCTCCCTCCGCCCTCCGCCCCTGTCACATCTGCCACCGGCGCCCAACAACACGCCAAGTCCTGGACGCCTACGCAGACTGTGATCTCTGCCACGAACGGGCATGCTTCATCTGTCTCCGGCAATGCGACAGCGCATCCTGCGGCGGGACATTCGGTCTTCCAGAAGATTCAGGCATGCATATGCGCATGAGCTCAACCGACGACGCCAACTACGATGCCAGCGAGGCGCCGAGGAGGAAAATCTGCTCTAGCTGTGCTGTGGAGGAAGTCACCGAGACCGGGGCAGAGATTGTACGTTGCCTTGACTGCGTTCGCGGTGCGGGCTCGTGGGCGGCAACGACGATTCCATCTGCTTGGGCCTTGGATGATATGCGACATGAGGATATGACCGAGTGAGGGTTATATATGGGAGTTGATTTACTCGCCTCTGTGGGGAGATTGAGGGTGGATATGACAGAATGACACAGCAAACTATGGTACAACATTCATTACAACCTCAGGGTTGTTTCTGCTACTCCTTGGTGTGGAGTGGCTCTTTTTTCGGAGTTTGATATTGGGACTGGACTGGGAGGACTTGGATTGAGGCGGATATTCTTTTGGTGGCATTTATATTGGATATGCATGGCGAATTATTGAACTTTATTTCTATTCTATTCTATTCTATGTGTTTTGGTTCTAGCATATAGCATAATGATATCAAAAGCCTTTTTGTATACTTCGACTTCTATGTAAACTAAATTGTCTTTTTGATTTTTTACATCCCAAGTGAAACTAGACCAAAGTAAGAATAAGAGTAGAGACAGGAGTATACCAAAAAGGACTTTACTGCAAGTAAAAGACCCAATGCCTATATACTAATTTCCAGGTAGGACATAGCTGAGGACCAAATCAAAAGCCCCAAAAGGGTTCAAAATCAAAAAGGCTCTTTCTTGCAGCCCATCTGGGCTTGTGCGCTTTGCTATACACTATAGAATGGACCTATATTATATATACGCAAAAAGATTCCTAGCCATTTGGTTAGGAGTTTGTAACAAAAATATATTTGCTCTTTGTTAGGCTGTGACTATCTCTAGGTACAATGTAAGCCAGGATAGAAACAGTGAACATTAAATAAATGCCATGCTAAAATTGAACACCATAGAACATAACAGAATATGGTCAGGGTATAGCCAGAATTGAAAACCTATGCTCATCCACATCACCTTCTCGATATCGAGATCAAGATCAACCCTCCAACTACCTACCAAACCTCATCTGCGCCCCAGCAAAGTGCCAAAGACCACGCATATACCCCTGATACTCAACCGCCTCCCCATCCCCACTAATTCCATGACTGCGTCCACCAGTACAATACATCTCCGTCAACCGCAGCTGCCACGGCGGATACCCATCGAGCTTAAGGAATGGACCAAAAACAAGCAACAGATCCGGCTCGGGCTTGAGCACCGTGTCCGGCAGCGTGGGATCCATAGACAGCGGCTGCGTAGTGATCTCACTGATCTCCGCGTCAACCAGTTCAGGCGTGATATCCTCTGGTGAGAGCTTGCCGTTCTGGCTCATCTCCGCTAGGGTCTTGGTGAGGTCCACGAGGGTCTCACGACCGTCCGTCGAGGAGAGGAGGAGGATGGTCAGGGTTGGGTTTGTTGTGAGTGGTGCACTGCGGTGGACTGGGTGGTGAGGGGCGTAGAGTTGGAGGTTTGGTTGGTGACTGGGGGTGCCGTAGTAGGAGGCGAGTTTGGTGGTGATTATTTGGTGGAGGGCTGGGATGCAAGATTTCAGGACGCCTACGGTAGAAGGTTAGTATTACTGTACATCTGGACAGTAGAGAGATCATTCATACCAGACTTCTCATATACACTGAGCTGGGGAATTCCCGAGCACGAACTCCAGGCAGCCAATTCAGCAACCTCATCCATCAACACTGCAAGAGAATCATCCTCCTTCCGCAACGTAAGAATTGTACTTAGATGCTGTGGCAAACGCTTGAGATTCTTCACATCTTTCCGGATCAGCTCCGGGGTGCGGTGGTGGTGATAGACGATTGCGAAAATGCGATCGACGACGGCATGGTACGCTTGCAGAAGACGCACGACGATACCGAAGATGATATGCGTCAAGGCATAGGTGAGATAGTGGGTTTGCGACTTGAGAAATGTGCGAATGGGTGTTTTGCGCGGTGTCTTGCGCTCGCTAACAGTCGGCTGCGGTGTTGGTTTCTGGCCGAGCTCGGCGGGGTCGGGGAGATAGCTCTTGAGCAGGGCTTCGCGTTCTGCTACGCTCAATTTCGTACCGCGAGCACGTAGATCATCGCGGAGGATCTCACGGTCTCGTTGGGAGACCATTGTTGTGGGTAGTGGAGGAGGGAAAGTGGAGTTGGAGGTTCTGGTTTCGGCTTTGCTGGCCAAATATCTTGTGCTGCCTAGGGAGGTCCTTGGCTTTTTCATGTGAAATGAAGTAGAATAGTTTGTAATGTAGAATAAATCCCAATCTCCGATTAAGTATATCAGATAGATGTAAACATGTACATTTTACAGTATGAATAGAATTATATACAGTTGAGATAGATGTCTATAGAATGGAAATATGTGCGTGGCAGTAAACCTCCCCGAACCAACCTTTCATCTCCCGCAGCTTTCCCCGGATTCCTCTTACAATTACTCCAACAGTCCAAGAGAGAGAGAATTGTCCAGCTCTACAGGCAGCCAATGCCTGTCCCGCTATCATGATGGACAATGCATCCATAATAACCAACCCCGCCCGCACCGTATTCCCTCAAGGCCCCAGTTTCACTCTCGAGGACTTCTCCAGCCGGGACTTCATTGTCAAGGAGTTTATTGAAGCTCTCTCCGACACTGCCATCTCCAATCGTCGCTCGCTAGCCGGTACCGCCGCTGCCAACCAACCCTTTGATCCCAAGCCCCTCATCCGCACCTTCGAAAGCGCCCAACGCCGCCTGAGCGAGCTCTCCGGAGACCTCGAGCTCCGCGAGAATGAACTCTCAGCAGCTGTCCGACGCGCAGAAGCGCAGCATGGCCAAAATCTCACCACCCTTGGCCAGAAGCTCCGCCACACCATTGAGAACTTTCAACAGCTTGACACGTCTCTAAACGCGCCCGGCCGCGAGAATCCAGCAGGGACAGGGAACATGGCAGTCGAGACAGGAAAGCGCTTAGAGGAGCTAGACCGACAGCGTCGACGAGCTCTGGATGCCCATTTCCTCATCCAATGTTGGGATGGCGTGTGCAACCGGGGCGAACTCTCACTATTAGAGGGCCTGCGGCGATCTGGCACGGGAGAGGCCAAGGTGCGCTCCGCACACATTGCGCGACAACTGCTGCGCATTAGTCAACGACTGGACCCGCAGAGCTGGCAGGAACATCGGGCTCACTCAAATGGTGCGAATGGTGCGAATGGCGGGTACGGGAATGGCTCTTCATCTGAGGATCTCAGCGAGAGTAGTACCCCGCGGCGGAACACGCGGGAGATCATTGAGAAGTTCTCCGAGACGCTGGAGAAGGATTTGCTGAAGCAGTTTGACGAGTTTTACCGCAAGGCTAACTTCGACGGCATGAAGGATTGCGCCACTGTGTTGCAGGATTTCAATGGCGGTGCCAGTGTCATTGCCCTGTTTGTCAACCAGCATCAGTTCTTTATTGAACGCAGCCAACTGGTGACCGAGGAAGTCGGTGGTGATCCGGAGTCGTGGGAGAAACTGGCTGATCCGGACGCGGAGCTTCCTGGCGTTGAATCTAGTCTCCAGTCGCTGATCGATGAAGTCAAGGTTGTGGTTCAGGAGGAATCTGCTATTATTCGACGGGCCTTCCCCTACTACGAGCAGGTCCTGGGCAAGTTCTTACAGCGAGTCTTCCAGCAATCTATCCAGCAGCGACTGGAAATGGTGCTGGAGAAAGCGGCTGGTGTATCGTCATTAGCTTTCCTCCGTTGTTTACAAAGCTCCCGTGGCTATATCAGTGCCTTGATCGAAGATCTGAAGTCGCACGGTTTGACCGAGCACCCTGAGCCCGTTTCTTCGCAGACAGCTGTGTTGCTAGATCAGCAGCTGGAGGAGCTTTTTGTTCCTTATTTCGTTGGATCGTCTTACATCGAACGCGAGAAGCGGACGTTAGAGGAACTCTTCAATGCGGTCCTGTTCAGGTTCACCTCTTACCAAGCCCGCCGCAAGAAGGCGGCAACAACTTTCATGGCCTCGTTATCCCGGGCTGGATCAGAACTCCTTTCGAATACACGCGATGCATTTATTAGCCGGTTGGACTCACCAGAGGTCTCACCTATCCAGCGAAAAGTTCTGCTCAGCGTAGCCAAGATAGGCGATACGCTGGAGACAACTCGATTGACCGAAATCAAGCTCACAGAAGAAGATGGACAACCCAATCTCAGCGACGCTAAGCGGATGCTGAAGTGGTTGGCTGAAGCCGTGGGCCGAGGACTGGAGCTCAGCGTCAACAGCGATACACCCAAAGACGTCTCCGCCTTGCTCAACCTGCTTCTCCTCGCCATGGGAGAGGGATACGTGGATGTCTGTCTAGACGCCGCTCTGGAAGCGGCTACGTCGCAAGAATCCGCCAAGGCTGAACCCGACTTCTCCTACCTCTTCTCGGCTCGCACTACGATCAGCATTACCACATTGATGGTGATGTGCATCCATGCGGTCCTTCTCCCTCTATCAGCTGCGAGCATCACCACTCGCCGGGATATGGAGAAGCGCACCAGCCAAACCACCTCGCGCATCGAGGACAAAATCAACAGTATCGAGCAGAAAACTATTGACGCCACCTTTGCCTGGGTTAGCAGATTGCTATCTAACCAGAAGAAGAATGACTTCCGTCCCAGGGAGAGTGATAACACCGCATGGTTAGAGATGCTACAGACTCCAGTACGTTCCATCCAATCCCCGACCCCAAAATTCTACTAATCCCCAATAGACCTGCGCATCAATCACCTCATTCCTAACCCGTGTTCACAACGTCGCGCGCAGCTCCCTCCCATCCAGCGGTGCCAACGTGCGCCAAGTGCTGACCGAGATAGCACTTGGAGTGCGCAGCCTTCTCCTCGAACACTTCAAACGGTTCTCTGTCAGTGGACCTGGTGGACTAATGGTAACCAAAGACATGACGCAATATGCAGACCTTTTCAAATCTTGGGATATTGATGAAGAGACTAAAGGCCCTGGTGGCGCGCTGGACGTGCTACTGGAGGTCGGTAGCCTATTCGTGATTGGGTCCGAGGCTCTCCGTGAAAGAATCCGTGGTGGTGGTGCCAGTGGCACAACCAGTGGCCCCGGGGGCTCAGGACGCAATGCTACACAGGAGGGTAAGTTGAGTGTGCAGGAGGTGCGGGCTTATGTCTCGCGTCGCGAGGACTCCAATACGTTTGCTATGCAGCAGGTTCTTAATGCATTGTGAGGGGGAGACCTTGTTATGGGATGTTTATACCCTGTTTTTGATTTGGTAGGAGTTGTTTCTGCTGGGGGGAGGGGGATATAGACCGGCGTCATGATAATGCATGCATTAGTCGTTGTCTTCAATGTTGGTATATTATATTTCTATTCTTCTATAATTGTTTTAACAAGATCCTCCTATATTTTATGTAGGCATTGTCCAGGCACCGATGCGACAGGCCTCGCGCGTTGCAGCGCCTTCCGGAAGCGCCTGTATAGAATTCCGGAAGATGCTAAACCCCTCCCCCCTTCAAAGACCATAAATTCCCCTTTTTCTCTTCTCCAACTTTCCTCTTGTTGCTCCTCTGCCATAGCCAGTTATATAAGAGTCGGTTTCACGAAATCCCGGTGTTGGCATTCCGGGTGCTGGCATATCCCGACGCAATAATCCTGTTGCTGGCGGGTGTCGGCGCATGGTTCAACCTACTCCACTGCTGGCTATCTGCATGGGTTTTCATGTATTACAATAGCCTAGCGGAGCCGAACCAAGCCCGGCAGAGCTACAGCTCTCCTGTCCCGCCCAGTAACGCAAAAGTCGGGTGTTAGCATGGCATCCTGATATCGACCAGCCTGGAACACAAAATCCTATTGCTAGTTGGCCGTATCATGGTGCGAGGTACGTCTTCAAATAACCACCAATCATTCGCATCAGCAGAGCTGAACAAGCTGAATGAGCTCAACAAGGTTGAACACCTTTTGGCCGAAGGGCCATATCCGAACTTTGCCAACGTATGTATACTCTTGATTTGTCCCAGTCCTTTTCCGACTGACTGTCGCTAACGCCTCCTCCTCTCTCTTAAGGGCAAACAGAAAGAAAGAGATAGAAGATGGGATCAAAGTCATACGAGTGGCTAAAGAACGCAAAGTAAAATGGCCAAGATCGACATGACAAGATTATAGAACTACAACGGCTGGTCCAAAAGACGCCAAGAGCACAAGGAAGGGCAAAGACCACCACTGAGCATCTTCGAAGTATGTAAAGCTCTAATTTGTTTCCGGTTCTTTTGCTATCAATCGTTGCTAATCGTTTTTCTCTGACAGGAGGGGGGACAAAATGAGCCGAATGCCTTTCCTCAGTTAGGGCTAGGCCTTCCCACGACGTCGCATCCGGTAGAAAGGTATGACATTCCCCATCTAGATTCATGGAGAGTTTCCTTGCCGATCATATTCGAAGAAAGTCAATGTCAAGAAATCTTCGTTTTGGTTCGCCAATTCCCAATGCCCATATCAGCATGACAGCCTGCGACGCATCATTGAGGTGATAGACGATCATGACCACCCACCCATTCCTCTGATATACTCCGAGATTCCTCTCGAAATTCCAGGCCTCTGGAAGTCAAAAGACTAAGCCATTTGCCTCTTCCATCCCTGGTTCTTCCCTTTATAATTATAACATGAGTGCGGAGCGAATATATCAACGAAGGCAATCCATATTCCAGGAAAACTCGTGGCACCGAATCCCATTCCATCTCGTCCCTTGGATTTCGTTGTATTTCCCTACAACTGTGGGCCACTGGTCCCCATTGGGAGCTTGGGGAAGTTCTGACTGAAGGAATTCATAAGACAAGATAGCCCTTGTCCAAAACTGGCGGGGGCATCGCATAGCAAGGCGGACAAAAGCTATGGCTGGGTCGAGTGGTCGAAACTCTCCTGTTCGAGTTGCCTTGAACTATGCAGCCAACTTGTTTTCCACCCCGTCTCTTCCGGATTATCCCTTTCTGCCTGGGAATATCTATATTCGGGTCAATTTCTACCCCTGCTACATTGTTCCATATACATAAGCCATAACATGGCGCATCGGTGCTGTTCGTGCCCTTCCCCTATGACTGCATTGTATGGACCCGCTAACCAATGACACAGGAAGGGTATCTTTAAGTCGGTCATGCTTCTCTCTTTGGCGCCACTTTAGAATCATGGCTCAATGAATCCAGCCCTAACACGGCGCCTGGTGCTGTTGGTGTTCCTCCCCTATGACTGCATTGTATGGACCCGCTAACCAATGACACAGCCAGGGTATCTTTAAGTCGGTCATGCTTCTCTCTTTGGCGCCACTTTAGAATCATGGCTCAATTAAAACAAGGCCCAACGTGGGGTGATGACTGGACAGCGAATGAGGCAAATCTCCTAGTCATGGGGTCAACAAGGCCCCGCATCTTGCCTTGGAACATACCTATAGCAGAGTAAGGCCCTGGTTTTATCGACATAGCAACTAACGGACCGTTTGAGCACTACCAGTCATCTTCTTCCTTGCCGGGTTCTGGTGGGACTGGTTGTGAACAAGCTGCATATTTTCGTCTGGCGAAATAAATGCTTCCTTCGCTTTGGCGACAAGGATGTGTCTCGCAGGCTGAGGTTGTTATTTTACTAGTCATCGCACACAAGGATGTGACGTGGCCCATCAAAATAATTGCGAGCGGCAATTCAATCCCGCGAACATGTTGAGCTGTGAGTATGTCGAGCCCATATTCTCGAGCTTAGACTAGACTGACACTTGTCATTTTTAGGGTCTGTCTGCTCCGCCAAAGGTTTCTTGAGGATAAAGTTCTTCAAGCACGAAAAAAAAAACAAAAAAAAGAGACAACTCTGCTGTTCAAAATGTGCCATATAGCTCGCCAGGCTACGATGTCGTTCATCTACGCGGCTACTGGGGCGGAAACTATGGGCCGTATCATGGGGTGATAAGGCTTCACGCGCTGCTCATCGAGGAGCGCGCCGAGATTCATCCATGATGAATATTAGAAGGACGGGGAACAGCCTGTGTCCGAAGACATCAGCTGGAACCCAAATTCCAGAAGAATGAACCCAAGAAGCGTACCCCACATCATCTACTTGCTAGCAACATCCTCTTCTGGCGGATTCATTGACATCGCCCTGGTCATATTTGTGGATGGCTTCCCCCATGATGAATGCGGCGCATCCTGCACTCAGCGTTATCTTGCTCCAAATATTGTGGAGACTTGAACATGTGTGCTGGATTGCCCAAGATCCCTCTCCACTGCAAGTATCAACACAACCACCTGATAGCGTTCAAGTCCATTTGGATGGCAACAAGTGTCAGGACTGAGGTACCTTCTTTCTTGGGTCATCGTTATATGGAGCCTGGAGTCAGGCAATCAGGAGGCAAGCTTTTCTCCCATCAACGATGTTGATGAGTGGCTATACAATATTCGACCCGGCAGAGAGAAAATGCCAAAAGAATACTCCCGTGAGGAATGAGAAGAAAACTCTCACTTAAATCAGACAAAATGGCTGCCGGCGGGTGTGTCCCTAGTGGCCATGACCCTGTGCTGAGACGGGCGATTCAGGCTTGCAGTCCTCGGAGTACTTTTTTTCTTTATTCTTTCTCTGTCGGCTTTTTACTTCTCCATCCTCCATCACTTTATGAGCAAATAGTGGTTGAAAGGGTCATCCAAGAAGTGGTCATCCAAGAAGTGGTCATCCAAGAAGTTTGGGCCCCGCAGCTAAGGAATTCTCTGAAATTAATAAAGATATGCCGTACTGGCGTTGGGCTGGATTTGGTTTCTGGTCATCAAACGAACAATAACTTGTTTTTATCTCCATCCATGGCTTCAGCCGTATGCTTTTTGCTTTTTTTTTTTCTTTTTGCTATTTGTGACTTTGGTGTTTGTGATTTATCTCGCCAATACATGACTTCATTTTCCATATCGTATATTGGTAAATAGGTTCCTTGATTTCGACAGTATACCTGGTAGAATATAGATGCTATTTTGAATTTAATATGGAGCAGCTCTCCAAGATTTCCATCTAGATGTCTATAGATCCACTAAGAAACCCAGAAATAGTCTGAAAAGTTCCAGGTACCTCTCCGTACAGGGCATACCTAGGTGCAAGTCTATAAATGGGCAGACCCACGTATAATTCCATGGCTTGAATTGGAGCCATGGTACTATATCTCTTTTAATCTTACTATGTTTCAGTCCTCTGTTTTTGTGATACTACGAATGAATTAGATTATCCATAAACGGATTTCTCAGCTAAGAATGTCGAAATGACACTGTACAAAGTCATAGTAGTCCGGATGTATATCTAAACATATACCTAAGGTTTGTGGCTGAAACCCAAATTCACGGCCCGGAACCCTAACTGTCAACGTTTCGACCTTCGACCTTCGACCTTTTTATATGTATACTGGGTATATCCTGCCTCTCTTATTCTCAATATTACAATCATATATATGTATTTGGTACATCCAACTTGAAAAAAAAAGTGTTAAAGGTGAGTAGGTCCACAGTTCCCACTAATTACCTTTTACCAGAAAGCAGTGACGTACAGGTAACTTTAGCTCACCTACCTAGGAAAGATTCAACGATGATCATTAGAATATTCTTTTCACAAAGCTCCACTGCGCAACTTGTCCGAACAAATCATATTTTCTAAACCCCCTAATATATGGAGACCTCTTGTAGGGATCTAGGATATAACCCGTCTAGGCCCTAAACAAGGTTTTATGGGTTCCCACAACTTTTGTCTTTAACTTATATTTAGCTTCGGTTTCTTCTCTAGAGACCTGTACGGGTTGCGTATCCGTCGACCTCTCCCGGGGATGGGGGCGCTTATACTTTACTGATACAGAAATATTTCGATCTGGATTCGCATTTTGAATACGTACTGAGTCAAGTTGACCTCGAGCCTGATCTGGGAGGGAACCTGATCCGGGATAGAACTCGATCCGGGATAGAACCTGATCTAGGATGGAACCTGATCTAGGATGGAACCTGATCTAGGATGGAACCTGAGTCGAGTTGGAATGACTCTGACTCGAGTTGGGATGAAAATCTCAATCTAGGATGGAACCTGTCTGGAATGACACTGACTCGAGCTGGAATGACCCTGACTCGAGCTGGGATGAAATTTCGATCTAGGATAGAACCCGATCTGCTAGAACTCGATCTGGGTTAAATTCTCAATCTAGGTATATCGACAATTGGGAAAGGAATCCTGTGACGGATCTAGAAGCGATGCTGTGACGGATCTAGAAACCAGTCTATAATCTATAAAACACCCTTAGCCTTGGAATATTTTGTTCCCTCGAGCATCTAGTCAATGAGTATTGGCCTGCGGGCCCTAACCATTATTCTTCATCAACACCGTTTTTGTAACCGGTACAGAATGACGGGATACATTCGGATCTGGTAAATGCAGCGCTGTACTAGTATGCCCCATCAGATCTAGTCTTACAAATGGAGAGAGACCTTGGTCCACAATCTGAGGCAAAGAGGATTGACTCCATAGAGGATCTTGATTTGAATTTTTATTCTACCAAATACAAGAAACACCCTCGGGTCCTCTTTCGTAGCGACATATTCACTCCTTCACTGGTAATCTCGGGTTGCCGTCCATTCGTTCTGACCACTGTATACCCTTGTTGATAACTGCGAATTGAACATATATGCCTAATGGCTGAAGATAACCCCAGAAAATCCACTGTGGAAGATGTCTTCATCCCCAAAGAACTACTCACAACTGCCAAATTCAACTCGCCATGGGAATTGGCTCGATGGGAAGAGTCTCTCCCCGACAACCATCGTATATCGCTTCCAGAGCCTCGCACCTCGTCCAATCGTCCTCTGAGTCTTTCTGCTCTGCGAGCAGTGGCCAGACCAAAGTCTACAATCCGGCCTCGTGGACGCAGTGATCCTCCTGCTTTTCAGGGTATGAAATTGATATTCCATATCTACGGCAGAGACTTGTAGAGATACAATGAGAGACTATATTCAAATCGATGTCCGTATCTTAACAAACATCAATAAGCTAATTATATCTCATTCTTCAGGCACATTCGACTACGTCGCAAAGCCCGCCACATTCCAACCCGCCTCTCCAATCCCTGAGAAAGAACCAATAACGCCTGTTCAGAATGCATTCCTTAATCCCCAACCACTCAGCAAAGTCAGCTCTCATACAATCAGCAGCGAGCAGAGCAGCCTGCAAGAAGTCTATGAAAAGGCCAAATTGAGAGGCGTTGCCATCCAACGAAAGTACTGGGTGCGGTTATCGTTTGAATACAGCATCTATGCATTCCTTGTTCTGTTCGTCTACTTCGTCCTTGTCGGTATGCCACTCTGGAAAGGTGCTGTCTGGTGGCTGTATTACGTTGTCCGAACCAAGTTCGTTATCCAAGGAGGATACGCAATTATCATTGGTCTGGCTGCACTGTAAGTGTCTTTTCGACACTCCAAGTTTCTTGCCCTAATCAAAACCAGATACGCATTCTGTCCTCTGATGATCCTTTTCGAGAAAGACCCTCCGACCCTGGACTCTGAATCCGAATCCGAATCTCCAGACCTGGAAAGCAACACCTCCAAGGTACAATCAACCGCTCTCCTCATCCCCTGTTATAAATCAGCATCGATCATCAGCGCAACCCTTGAAGCCGCCTTGAAAGTCTTCCCCAAAGAAAACATCTTTGTCATAGCAAATGGCAACTCCAAGACACCCCTCGACAACACAGAAGAAGTCTGCAAACCCTACGGTATCAACCACCTCTGGGTACCCATCGGCTCAAAAATCGTGGCGCAGTTCGTCGGCAGTCACGCAGCCAGAGATTTCGAAAACGCCCTCCTGATCGACGACGACTGCCTCCTACCCCCAAACTTCCCCATCGTCAGCGACAGACTCAAAAATACCGTCAAATGTCTCGGTTACACCATCAAAAGCGTCGGTCCCGATTCCTCAAAGGGTACATTCTGCCAACAAGCCCAAGACCTCGAGTACAAAATGTCCGGGATCCAACGTGCTTTCTTCGGAAAATTCGGAAGCGCTACATTCCCACATGGAGCTATTTCGCTCTGGAATATTGAGTTCCTGAAACAGACCTTCCACGAACATCCCGGCTTCTCTGTGTCGGAGGATTGGTTCTTTGGCGATGCATGTCGGCGTCTGGGTGGACGCATTACTATGTGCTCACAGGTCTTTGTCGAAACAGAGACGCCGGCTTCCGTATTTTACAGTGGTTCCGGTGGTAGTCGTGGTGGATTTGGCGAGATGACTGTCCTCCAGCAGCGATTTAAGCGGTGGAATTTCTTCTTCGTAGTTGGTGTATACTACGATTTGAAGTACATCTTTACTAGCTGGAAATTGGGTTGGTGGGAGTTTGGTGCGAAGTTGTGCGTTTTCCAAGAGGTACAGAGACATTTCCCATCTTCGACATTTTGGTAAACGTAATGCTAACCCTAACCCTAAAAGGTCTACGAAACCCTCATCTACCTCTTCGCCCCCTTCGTCCTCCCAATCTCATTTATAGTCCGTCCCTCGTTCTGCGGAATGTTACTCGGCGTCACGATCGGGATGTACATCCTCAATGTGATCATCTTCAACGAGGTCCACCTCCGATTAAAGAAAGAGCGCATCGACTGGAAAGTCCTGTTGTTCTATTACACTTTCTACAAGATCGCGCTGACGTTCATCAACGTGGTCAGTTGCTACTGGTCGCTGTACAAGTATGCCCGGTACTTTGCGCAACGGCATCCGAAAGTCATTGAGGACCGGGATGCGGTTGAGGTGTTACTTAGTCTTGAGAAGGATTCAAATTCGAAGATAACGTCGGTCGAAGATGATATCGTTCCACTTGATGGTGTGCTCGGGAGAGGCGTTGGAAGGAAGTTGACGCTTACGAAAGTTAAGGCTGGGAAGAGGGATAGTGAGAAGAATGCTGGGTGGATTTGAATATATACAGTATAGATGTGATATTATAGATTTGTGTTTAGAAAGATATATTGTACGGAGTACACAGAATAATGCATATACACTTGGGGAAAAAAATCCTCCGATGTGACTCTTCAAATGTCTCCAAAGTTAATATACCTAGAAACCCTCATTTGATATTGATATTATGGAGATCACTCACTCAGGGCGCTAGACCAGAACAAGAAATTTCCAGGTCTTCTGCACAAGTCTGTGATATGTATTTTCCGATTCAATCTAAACTATTGGTTTTCATTGCTTATTCTGTACTACTCACATTAGGACAACCCCCTGACAGGGCCTAAAGCAGATCGGGACCTACGGGCGCTTGCATAAAGTAGCTATCCTTGAGGCTCACCAGAAGATCTACAGCGGTGAACACCCTAAATACGAAGTACGAACTACAGAGGGACGCGTTTGCTTCCCGAGATATGAAAATAGGAAAATATCACTTGCAGATGATAGATCATATCTAAAAAGCCCGAGTTCGCACGCCTCATGCCACGAGTCTCGGAAAAAAAAAAAAAAGGCCTCGTTTGTCTACAATTGAAGAATATACAAATGTATGCATTAGCTCGATGCAAGGAGAAAGATTTATTTGAATATGGATTAAATTCTCTACATGTCATAAGGATTCTATTAAATTCCGGTCTCCGTGTCGATCATTTTCATGCAACTGGAAGTATATCCGACTCTGTACTCCGTACAGAAATCTAACAAAAGCAAATCATTGGCTCCTGGTAATCTCCGGATTACAGTCTCGACCTCAGTACTCTGTAATTAAAGGTGAGTTTGCTATAGATCATGGGATTATATGAGCTGTCAGGTAACTATGAACCAGTAGTTACTTTGATTAAATTAGCCGACAGTTGGATTAGTTCATACTAGTTAATATCAGGTTAGTGTCAAGGCCTAAGTGTTTTCTTTGTTCAAGTGGTCCACTTGGACTGTCTCATTGGACGTTGAATACTTGATATATCACATTCTCCATTCTACGTATTACCCGTTAACCCCGCGGTCATTACCCAATATTGAGAGAGAACAGGGACAGGGAACAGGGTAGAGCACAACGGCCAACGTTTTCAAGTTCCAAATTCCCGTGTTTCAGACTGGAAGATCTGCGTGGAGCTGAGCTGATCTCCTTACTGACCCAAGGCGCGTACTTGGTGATTTGGTGACATAGATGAATTGTATTCTATAGTCCATATGTAGTGTATGTAGTATATAGTATATAGTATGTATCAGTACATGCTAGAAGGGTGATGGATCATATAGAGGGGTATAGAACTAGAAATAGAAGTCATCACACGGCGCTAATGTACAGCATCCTGTCACCGATCAAAGAGTTTTAAGATTTTTATGCTCGTATCACCACATATATAGATCTCCTTGTTTCCTCTTTTTTCTTCTTCTCGATTCTATGTTGGATTACTTATACGCTTTGTTATTATTCTTATGTTATATTGCTATTATTCCTTTTGCTCTATTCCTATATTCACTTCTATTCTCTACAATGTCCGAGGACTTTGAGTCACTGCCTCCAGCAGTGCGAAGAAAGGTAAGGGCTAATATTCATTTCCTCCGCTCGGACTTTTTTTCAATTCCAATAGTCTTGAGGATCTTAACCCAATGAAGACTGATTTGCCCGTTTTCTCCATTTTTCTATTTCATTTGTCCTTACTCCGTACTGTGAACTGTGATTTTACCCCTGAACCCCTCGAGGCCCGGACTATCGTCCGTGGCGCCTCGTTGTCTCGCAACATTGACCGATATTGACCAATTCTGGTCGATCTTGGCAAATGTTAGCGCATGGGATGTTGACTCCACTTCACCTAGTTCAATGTCCACAGCTGACTCGAAAACAGTTCTTCTCGAATGTCGAGCGCTTGCGCATTCGGTTAGCTCAGAGCGATCACAGTTCCCCTACCTACTCCACGTCAAACTATCAGGATAATCGGGTCTATCGAACCCCTCGTCTTGGGTCTGACTATCAACGTCTACGGAATTCGACGAGGAAGCGAGGGCTCAAACGCTCCCCTTCCAAGAAATTACGCAAACCCGGTTCTCTTCAATTGGCCTATCTGGCCGCCCAGGCGGACTCCCAATGCTTCCATTCTCTTCCCGCTAAGATTCAACAAAAGCTCTTCTCCCCCGAAGAACGTCGACGTTTGAGGAACGCTTATCGACAAAGTCTCATCTACGACGCTGCCGACGAAGCTTACCGTCGAGATTCGAACCGAGATCCCCGTCAAGATTCCGAGATTTGTCGCCCTTCCACTGATAGTCACCTCCCCCAGCCAACTGTGCCTGTTCAGCCATCGACCGTTTTTTATTCAGACTCCGAGTCGGACGACGACCCCAACATGGATCAAACATTCCACGATAGTTTCCGGTGGCTCGATGACGATGGTGATCTCGACTTATCTCTCGATGAATACCACGCTCATGTGGCAGATGCTGCCACCAGAAAGAGATCCCGTCACTCTTTCCGCCGCTCCTTATCCTTTTCCAACCAACTTCGCAAAACCTTAGAAATTACACCCATTTCCCCTCGGGGACTTCCGCCTGTCAGCCGCTCTCAGCCTCTAACCCCTCTCTCCAACCCTTCCGAATCACGCCCATCATCCCGCCGATTCCAACATGTCCCCAAATCATCCACTTCGAGCATCGACCCCTATGCGCAATACTACCAAGATCCCGATGCCCGTTTGAAATTGCGCGTGTACCTGGCATCCCCACAAAAATTCGACGAAGCCATTGAATTCGGATTTCCCTCGCTAGATCAAAATAAGGAGAATATCGCCCTGGAAGTGATTTCACCGAAACCAGTCTCCCCCAAACCAACCTCGTCACCAAAGCCAACCTTGGTCAACTGGGACTTTGGCACGTTTTTCGAAGATGACGATGGCACCATGGTAGGGAGTCCAGGGGGATCGGTGGAAAATGAACCAATCCATTCACCCGTGCTCACTCAACGGGACGTGCCCCGACCCTCCGTGGAATCCTCGACTTTCTTGCAGCGCCAATCCTGGCTGCCGGGGACCAAAGGAGTCCCACAACGACTTCCGGGAAACCGTGAGATGACTCTCAAAATGACCCTCACTCGGCCTGACCTCCGCACCGACTCTCCTACGGCTCCTGCGTCCAAAGAAAAAGAAGATCCCTTGCGATTGGCCGCACTTCCTCCTGCGGATCGTAATCAGTCTATCTGGGACTCGGACTTAGACGAGCAAGGTATGGTGAGGAAGATGTGGCGCAAGCTCCGACGCCGAGTTTGATTTCAATATATCCCGACTTTCGATTGACCTTCGCTTTTTTTTATTTTTTTAATATTGTGATTCCCCAACACCAAGGTGTTGTTTCTTGTTTGCGAACTCTTTTTTTTTTTTTTTGTTCTATATCATTCTGAATGTCTATTCAGGCACCAATCCCTGCATTTTGAGCGATGTTTGCTTTTCACACGGGGCTCCCCGATATTTTTATGTATCTATTTAGCAGTGTTGTACATATAACTGCTTCATGTCAATTTCAAAAGATGTCATCTTTGTCCTTTCACCTTTCAGGTAGTTATACCTGTGTAGATACTAGTCCTAATTGTATACTCTCATCCATGGTTGGATTGCCAGTAGAACTTGTTTACAACCATGGTTCAGTGAGTCCGATACCGATAAGAAATGCACGTGACATGGAGCTTTATCCCAAGGCAGCCTTAAGAGAAGGCCACGCAGCTCGGTCATCAGCATCACTATCTTAACTTGAGACTTTTCTACCTGCTTGTTCATTCACTGCTACCCTCCAACAGTCCTCTCCTTTCCAGTGACTTGACATTCCTTCCGTCCATCGATTGACCTCGAATTCCCGGTCCGGTCCGCTCAAGCTCTTATACCCCATCAGATGCCTACGCAGCATCGGTCATGATCCCACGGTGGCTGTTGCTCACACTGAGCCTGCTGCTGGTATGGACTTCACAACCAGCAGCAGCAAAGGGAAACGAGCCGAACGTCGTGACCCATGAACTGAACGCTGCGCCCTCGGACCTGTTCTACTTCCGCGGCACCAACACCATCCTCTACCGCGACAAGAGTTCCCTCACTGCACATGTCTCCTTTGATGGTGGTGAAAAATGGGAGACCGTCAAGGGCAAGGATGGAACCATAGAAGGCACCGTGGAGTTGATCTGGGAACATCCGTATGACGCCAACCGTGCGTACATCCTCGGTGAAAAGGGCAAGCACTGGATCACGACCGATCAGGCCAAATCATGGAAACCCTTCCAGGTGGATGTAATGCCGTTCGCGTCAATGCGCTCCTCCCCATTGGAGTTCAATGGCTGGGATCCGAAGAAGGTGATCTTCATGGGTCTGGAATGCACCATCCTTGGCTGCATGCCCCAAGCGTATTATACCATCGACGACTTTGATAATATCCAGCCGTTGCGTGAGATGACGCTCCAATGTATGTGGGCCACAAGCCGCCCGCAATTCGCGTTGGACATGGACATGCCAAAGTCGATAGCAGATCGGATTCTCTGTGTGGTTCCTGGGTTGAAGGCGCCATTTCAGCATACTCGTACAGAGCGGCTGATATATTCCGAGACCTTTTTCAAAGGTGATGCAGAGGGCACCGAGGCGAAACTGGACCATGGAAAACCGCTGAGCGGTACCAGTCTTCAGATCCGCTCTGTGTCCAAGTACATCGTGGCGCGTCTTCAATCGCGTGGTACGCAGGAGCAGGCTTTATATGTCACCGACGACTCAAATGTGTGGCACCGCGCGGAATTTGGCACGCACCGCATTGAAGAGGATGCCTATACTATCTTGGAAAGCACCAACTACAGCATCCAGATCGACGTGCAAACTACCTGGCATGATAACCGGATGGGTAGACTTTTCTCGTCCAACTCCAATGGCACCTACTTTACGCAAAATATCGAGCACACGAACGAGGACTTGTATGGCGTGGTCGATTTTGAGAAAGTCACAAATATCCAGGGTATCACGATCGTCAACACGGTCAAGAACTGGGAGGAAGCTGGGAAGTCTGACTTGACTAGAAAGAAGCTTACCAGCAGTATCAGTTTTGACGACGGGAGAACCTTCCAGCCGCTCAAGGCGGATAAAGACGACCTACACATCCATTCGATGACCACCTACGCCGCGCTGCGCGAGCTGCCCATGCCAGATCACCGGATGCTCTCAAGCCCGGCTCCAGGCTTGGTCATGGGCGTCGGTAACACTGGAGACCACCTCGAGGACTACTCCAAGGGTGATCTCTATGTTTCAGACAACGCGGGCCTTACCTGGCGGCGCGCGCTCAAAGGCCCGCACCGGTACGAGTTTGGCGACCAGGGAGGTGTGATCATGGCGGTCTTGGATGGCAGCCAGACGGACAATGTCCAGTATTCTATCGACCACGGGAAAGAGTGGGAGTCGATTGATCTGAAACAGAAGATCAAGCCTCTGTACCTGATCTCGACGCCGGATTCGACTAGCCTCAAGTTCCTGCTCGTTGGTATTTCCAGCGATGACACCAAAGTCCTCATGTATTTCATTGACTTCGATGGCCTCCACGAACGCAAATGTGGCCCGGAAGACATTGAAGAGTGGACTGCCCGTTTAAATGAAAAGGGCGAGCCGGATTGTCTGATGGGTCATAAACAGTTCTTCCAACGCCGCAAGGCAAACGCGGATTGTTTCATCAAGAAAGAATTCGCCATCAACGGCCCTGTTTTCAAACCCTGCAAGTGTTCCGCTGAAGACTTTGAATGCGACTACAACTTTGTTCGCAGCGAGGACCGCAAGGAGTGTCTACCAGCTATCCCGCTGACACCACCGGCTGGCAAGTGCAATGAACCCAGTGACAAGTTCATGGGCCCCTCGGGATGGCGACTCATCCCCGGCAACGCATGCATCCGCGAAGGTGGCGAGGACCTCGACCGTCAGGTTGAGCGCTCCTGCTCGAATGCCACGGGGCCTCCCCCGGTCGCCGATGGCAAACCTCGTGCAGAAAAGCCACAGACCATCTCTGCCAAGGAGACTAGCTACTTCTATCTCGAACGACAGGCCAGTAACAACGGCGTTGATGAGACTATCATGATGCTCACGGACAAACTCGAGCTGCACATCTCGCGCGACCATGGCCGGAACTGGAAGCAAATCCACGCGGATGAGAAGTTTATGGGAATGGTCCAGCATCCTTACTTCAGTGATGCAGCATTCTTCCTCACCGACACCAAGAAGGTGTACTACACTATCAATCATGGTGAATCTTTCCACTTCTTCGAGGCTCCCAGCTTGCCGAACAAGGAGGGCATCCGCCCGCTGGCTTTCCATGAGAAGTTCCAAGACTCCCTTATCTGGATCGGTCACAAGGACTGTGATAGTGGTGGAAATAACTGTCGCTCGCAGGCGTATGTCACCGACAAGCGAGGCGCTAGTTGGGACCCGATGCTCATTGGAGTCGACGGTTGTAACTTCGGATATCACGAGGGCCGCAACAGCAGTGAAAAGCTGGTGATTTGCGAGCAGTACAAAGATGAAGAAAAGAACAATAACCGGCAGCTAGTTATCAGTGATGATTATTTCTCTACCATGCACGTTGAGTTTGAGAACATTGCCCGCTCTGCTACCAGGAATGATTTCGTCGTTGTCGCCTGGTACGAAGGAGACCAGAAGGAATACCTTAATGCCAGCGTTAGCGTCGACGGCCGCACTTATGCTCATGCGCACTTCCCTTTCAACATCAAGGTCCCTCAGTATACCGTCCTTCCTAGCTCCCCGCACGCATTGTTCCTTCTTGTGAAGGTGAGCGAAGGAAATAAAAACAGCTTCGGCTCTCTAGTCAAGAGTAATAGCAACGGCACCTACTTCGTCCAGAGTCTCGAGGGGCTCAACGTCAACGACCGCGGCTACACGGACTACGATGAGTTGCACGGCCTCGAGGGTGTAGCCATTGCCAATGTGGTTTCGAATCGGGAAGAAGTGCAAAACAAAGGTGCGGCCAAGAAGCTACGCACTATGATCACCCACAACGACGGTGGTCAGTGGATGCTTCTGGCTCCCCCGACTCATGATGCCGATGGCAAGAACTTCGGGTGCTCCGTTACAGAGAGCAGGGGCACCGAGAAATGCGCCCTCCATTTCCACGGATACACCGAACGCCGCGATCCCCGTGACACCCTCTACTCGGGCTCCGCTATCGGCCTGATGCTCGCGCTCGGCAACGTCGGTGAGCATCTCACCAGCCCAGCCGAAGCCGACACATACCTCACCAGGGACGGCGGCATCTCCTGGACGCAAGTCAAAAAGGGACAGTACATGTGGGAATTCGGCGCCGCGGGCTCGGTCATCGTGCTCGTCAGCGACCGGAAGGCAACCAAGGTCGTACACTACACGCTTGACGAAGGCATGACCTGGCACGAATTCCAGTTCGCCGAAAAGGAACTAGTTATCGACGATATCTCGACCGTACCATCAGACACATCGAAGAACTTCCTGCTCTGGGGCATGGACGGCGGCAAGCGTGTCACCATCACGCTTGACTTCAGTGGTATCTGGAGCCGCGACTGTAACGACGATGAGAGCGATTACTATGACTGGGCCCCCACTCATCCCTTCCAGGAAGAGAACTGTCTCTTCGGCCATGTCGAGGAGTACCACCGCAAGCGACCTGCCGCTGAGTGTTGGAATTCCTGGCGCGAGCCACACATCCACAGCATTGGACGGAACTGCACTTGCACCCGTGCTGATTTCGAATGGTAAGCAGACAAGAAAAACCACCCAATAAACCCTTCCTCCCCCACACCTCCCCAAATCCAATGTAAATATCAACTAACACGAATCAGTGACTACAACTACGAAATCCAAAACGACGGCAGCTGTGGCCTCGTCCCGGGCCTCCAACCCCAAGACCACATTGCACAATGCGCCCAAGATCCCGAAAAGGTCGAATACTGGGAACCAACCGGCTACCGCCGAATCCCTCAAACAACCTGCGTAGGCGGCCTCCTCCTAGACCAAGACATCTCGAGGCCCTGTCCAAACAAAGAAGAAGAATACCAAAAGAAGCACGGCATCAGCGGAGTCGGTCTATTCTTCGCGATCGTGACCCCCATTGCCGTCGCCGTCGCTGTCGGCTGGTACGCGTACACGCACTGGGACGGCAAATTCGGCCAGATCCGGCTGGGCGAGGGCGGTGTTGTCACGTCGCAGAGCTGGTTATCCAGGGACTCGGTGCTGGTCGCGATACCTGTGGCGATTATTGCGGGTATTGTTGCGGTTGCACAGTCTCTGCCGTTACTTATTAAGAGTCTAGCGCGGAGCTCGTCTGGGTTGTTTGGAAGGCGGGGAGGACAGAGACCTTATGCTACTCGTGGCTCGTTTGCCGCGAGGAGAGGGGATTATTCTTCTGTTGTTGATGACGAGGATGAGTTACTTGGAGCTGATGATTTTGATGATGAGGAAGACCACGCCTAGACTTCTTGGCTTTGGTTTGGGGGATGGTTATGGTTTCTTATTTTAGTATTGAATTTTGATATAGCTTCCTTCTTTTGTGGTTTCCAGTTGGAAATAATCTTTGGGGTTTGACTGCGACATTATGAGCGTCCATGAAGCTTTTTGCTTTGTTTCTTGCTGGTTTCGGTTTGTGTACGTTATGTGGCCCTTGGCTTTTATATAGAGAGCTCTAGCTAGTTAGGGCTCTAGCTAGTTAGGGCTGTGGGTATATCCATTGAACAAACAAAACAGGAGTCACATTTTTTATATGTTTGCTTTTGACACCTGTAAATGTATTTATTTCCAATGCTCTCTCTTTTTCTTTGTAGATATCCCTATTTGAGATGTTCGGGGCCGAAAGAGTCGGGCAGCAACTGGGCCCATTAGCAGGGAATTGAAGGCCTATATACCAAGACAAGAAACTCACCTCCTCCATGGTCATGACTTTATAATTTCCCTCCCCATCGTACATGTACACCGGGAAAGAAGGCGAGGTAAACTCGCGAATGCTGTATTATCCAATGAGCCAACCACACAAGAAAGAAGAGAAGAAAACTCACAATTGTCTACACATCCCACAAGGCGAGGCAGGAGGCTTGATATCCGTTGCGACAGCCAGAGCCTTGAAATCTTTGTGACCGGCGACCTGTGGGAAGTTAGCGATGACCCAAACAACCATGATGGGTAGTTCTCATGTATCAAGAGCAAAGAACGATAACATACAACAGCAGTGCCAATAGCGACACGCTCAGCGCAGGTTCCAACTGGATAAGCGGCATTTTCGACATTCGCGCCGGAGATGAACTCGCCCGAGGTCGTGAGGATGCATGCTCCCACACGGAATTTGGAGTATGGGCCTGGGAAGATGTTAGTGTTTTGGCATTATATCGCTACTTTGAAGAGGTCATACAGTAGGCAGTGGCTTTGGCATCAATGGCCTTGGTGGAGAGGGTTGTCAGCTCCTGGGCTGTGAGAGTGTGAGCCATTATGAGAGACGTGAAGAGAAGAAGAAGAAGAAGAAGAAGAAGAAGATGAGGGGAAGATGTTATCCGCTGATAGGCGATAGGCGATTTTATACCGGACTCCGGGGGATACGTTGATATGAATATATTAGATATATTAGAGATATTAAAGTGTAAATATGTGATTTTGATCTTAACTGTTTACCTATTTATCTATAGATGTTCTACTGTGGTAAGAAAGGAGTATCACTATATAGATAGATTGATATACATATACTACTTGATCTAGCATTCTAGATACATCACAACCACATAGCTATATATATTCTCTATATATTCTCTATATATTCTCTATATATTCTCTATATATTCTCTATATATTCTCTATATATTCTCTATATATTCTAATATCTATAGACATTCCACTGACATTCTTATATACATATGTTGATGGTAGTTATATGTGACGGATGACTAAGCCATGTTTTCCCCCCTCATTGAACATACGATCTTAAAAAGGTCTCCCATCTACAAACATGTTTAACCTAGGCGTTCAGGTCATCAACGGCCAAAAGACCTTTATACCACTAGGTAAGAATATCCAGCCCCCAGATATAGAATATCCAAACTCACAGCAATAGAAAACAACCCAGAAGTCCACACGCATCTATGTAAGAACCTCGGAGTATCCCCGAGCCTCACCTTCCACGATATCCTCTCCACCACCCCAGAAATGCTCTCCTGGATCCCACGACCTGTAAACGCCCTCATCCTCCTTTGCGACAAACCCATCTATCTCGCCGCGCGTTCTGGTGTCGAACATAGCATCCCCGAATATCTCGGTAGCGGGGTCGACGAGCCCGTATTGTGGATGAAGCAGACAATCGGACATGCGTGTGGGCTGATGGCATTACTGCATGTGGTTGTCAATTTGGAGAATGGGAAATATGTCACGGCTGGATCGGAGCTGGAAAAGATTGTGAATCTGGCGGTTGATCTGGGGCCGGTGGAGAGGGCACGGCTCTTGTATGATTCGAGGTTTTTGGAAGAGGCGCATATGGATGCGGCGTCAGAGGGATGCTCAATTGTGCCTCTACCACAGGAGGAATGTGGATTTCATTTTATTGCTTTTGTTAAGAAAGATGGGAAGGTTTGGGAATTGAATGGGGGAATGAATGGGCCATTATTGCGCGGTGAATTGGAAGGGGACTTGTTGGGAGAGGAAGGGTTGGATATGACGGTAAGGGAGTTTTTACATGCTGCCGACAAGGAAGTTCATAGGGGGATGAGTATTATTGCGGTGAATAATTGACTTGTACATTTATATATCCTTTCTATGTCTTTTATGTCTTTTATATGTCTTCTATATGTTATATACTCATGATAGTATCATATGTGACGTCATTCATAACAAATCCGGGGTTGAGAAGGATCCCGAATACCTTCAACTCTTAGAAATCAGCATTTGGATGATTTAAAAAGGATTTCCTAGACATATATATCTACATCTTCAACTTAAATGACCACAGTTCTCATCACAGGTGCCACAGGCAAACAAGGAGGTTCCGTGGTCAAGAACCTTCTGGAGAAAAGTGCCCCTTTCAAGATTCTCGCCGTGACTCGTAATACCAATTCCACGGCTGCCAAGAAGCTCGCCCAAAAGTCTTCCAATATCACATTGATTCAAGGCAACCTCGAAGACCCAGCGGCCATCTTCGAGAATGTAAAGCGTCAAGCCTCAACCATAGTTTGGGGCGTGTTCAGCGTCCAGGTAAGTATCCCCGAAAACGATATCTCCCAAATATATTCCCTAACCAATCTAAACCCAGGCGGCCAATCCCAAAAACGATGATGAGAGACGTCAAGGAATCGCTCTTAAGGAGTCAAGTACTTTGTGTACAGCTCCGTCGACCGCGGCGGCGAGAAATTAGACCAAAACCCAACCCCAGCCCCACATTTCATTTTCCAACACGAGATCGAGAAGCATCTGAAACAAAAAGCAAAAGGGACCGAGATGGAATGGACAATTCTCCGTCCCGTGGCCTTTTTGAGAACTTCACCCCGGATTACTTCGGAAAGGTGTTCACCACGGCATGGCAGATGTCTCTCAAGGGCAAGCCGCTGCAACTGGTCGCGACCAGTGGTATTGGCTTCTTTACGGCGGCGGCATTTATGAACCCCGAGGCGTCGAAGAATCATGCATTCTCGCTTGCTGGAGATGAATTGACCTTTGATCGCATGTCGGAAATATTCAAAACCTTGACTGGCGAAGATGTACCGACCACTTATTGGATTTCGGTTTGGTTGATGTTGGTTAGTGTTAATGAGCTGGGGGTGATGTTCAAATGGTTTCATGATGAGGGATATGGTGCCGATATTCCGGCTTTGAAACGACTGAACCCTAGGTCGAAGACTTTTGGTGATTGGTTGAAGGAGGATAGCCAATTTGAGGGGTGAATGATATAGAGATCTAGTTGTCATGAAATGTGTTGATAGAGAAATACTTGCCCCAGGTAGAAAGAACAATATCGCCTAAAAGATGGACCCAGCAAGCCAGTCCAGATCAGAAAACAGTTCCGATACTTCAAGCAAATTGGAACCGTTGTCACCCAAGCCAAAAGACACATCGGACAAAGTCTCTTCTCCACTGAACGGTGTCTGGACATTTTGCCCTTGTCTAGCAGCTCGCAATGAGGCTGTGCGTGCCATGAGCCGATCCAAAGGCTTCTGAAGCAGAGCATCAGTACGCATATCCTGCTGCCAAAGCCCATACATTTTGGTCACGACATCCCAAGCATGATCAGTCTCGGGACTAAGTGGACGCAAACACAGCTCGGAAAGTATAAAAGCGACCACATGCCACTCCTTGTAGCTTTTACATAACCAGCTCCACTGCGAGGTGCCTTCGTTAGTTTGCAGGAGGTAGGAGAACTGTACAAGCTCGACAGCGATCTCGAAGACACGATCGTCATGGCGGAAGGTCTTCACCTCTAAGTCTCCAGACTGGAAATGAGTCGCCAGCCATGCCTTGGAGAGTTGGAGTCGTACGATGGTTGCGATCACCCAATGGATTGGGATATCTAGGTTGAAATGATCGATGTACTGTTCGTGAATGCGCTTCCCTAGAGCTGTGACGAGATTCTCGCGGTCCTGCGTAGACATATCCGAGTATCCACCCTGACGCGGCCAGAGCATGTCGTTCATGATCTGACAGTTCATGATGCAGATGGTGGTATTTGTGAAGCCGGTCTTCGGTGATGACTGATCGGTCAAATGCAAGCCAATATCATCATCGTCAACATTACCCGGAAAATGTGTGTCGAACATTTCGGGTCTAATCTGAGTATCGACCCCTTGATCTCCCGAAGACAACATGTCAAGTAAGCAGATATGCCACCACAACCGACGGCGCATCTCAGTTTCGAAGGGTGGTAATGCGAAATTCCGCCCATCGCGATGCACGCCGTGTGCTTGTGCAACTCGTATCACGACGGCAGATTCAGCCCATACAAGGCGCGTATCACCACCGACTCGATAACATAGTAAGAACAGAACGGCGGCCTGAAGAGTAGACAGGCTCTGAGACTTGATGAAGTTGGCTCGGCGAAGTCCGTGGCTTACTGCTTTTTTACAGTCTTGGATAGCTGTATCGTAGTCGGTGCCAAGTATCGAAGGGCATTTGTGCGCTTTCATGCTAGCCACAGCGGCATAACACACAGAGAATAGTAATGCCTCATCCGAAGGGATCAATTCGATGCCAGCGCAGGCATCTTGGACAAGCCTCGCCATGGTGGCTTGATGAAGTATGACAATCAATGGTGCCACATTCTCTTGGTATGTTCTCCATAATGCATCAATCCTTGCTGGTTGGCAATAATGGAGGCGAAAAGAGTCGAGAGACCAAGCGGACTCGTGATTTCCAAGAAATCCATCCTCTGGCAGGATAATGGGACTATAGTTCGCATCGGGCGAATATGACTCTTCTTCTGAAGAGCTTTCTATAATATCACGGAGTTCAGAGATCTGCATTGCAAATTAGTTTACACCTATACAATACCAGCAGTACCCCTATCCCACCTTTTGTCCTAGTGCAGCAGAAGCCTCGTCACCGACATACCGACTCTTTCCATCTTTGGAAACCAGTAATTCTGTCTTTTTGACTGTCTCCAGATTTGGATGATTATCCAACTCGGATGTATGGACGGTATTGTGGCGTGCTGAGCGAAGTTGCTTGACCTCTTCTTCAAGATGCTTCAAACGAGTGAGTAGCTCACTCACTGGTGGCCTATTCAATGTCCGTCGTGCTCTTTTGGGGCCTGGAAAGGCGCACTGCACGTCGGCTTTCACACATAAGCTGCAGGGATATACTTTATCACACCGCACTTTTCTTTGATTACAACGCAAGCAGCTACGTTTATTCAATTCGAGCCCAGACGATGAAGCTGGTATATGCTTGACATTAGACATGTTCACAGGAGACGTGGAAATACAGTCGAAAGATGTGTAGATGTGGGGAGATTAGAGTATTATGTAAGCTTTAGCTGGCTCCAGTGCTTTACCTAGGTAGGTCCTTCGGGATTTATAAAGGAGAATCAAGTTTGATAGGAAGTGGTAAGACATTAGAATCAAGTTTTATTTGCAATATTCTATTCTATACAAAATAAAAATAAAGACAAGACAGAAAAAAGTTCATGTTAAAACACCCGTTTCACCAAATTCAAATGCCTTCACATGTTGAGCATTGAAGATTGAGTAAGGAGAGGTAAAAAAAAGAAATAGTAAAAGAGTCAAGAATCGTGTTTGAATGTATTCGGGGTATAGCGCACGATGCCAAAATCCAAAGAGTCAGGTATGAAAAATTCAAAAGGAAAATGAGGACAAATTTCTATATGCAGGGGAATTTTAGTGGTCTCTCTCTTTTTCTTTCATCCAAAATATTGCCGTAATCCTTCATAAACTGTGAAAATGAAGGCCGAGCTGGGCGCCGAGCGCACGCAGGTGATCCCGCACCCGCGGTACATGCCCTTGAGCCCTTGCTGTCTCCATAGAGCTTTGCTCACGCCCCAGAAGGTCTGTTGCTGGGCGTGGATCGGCAATCGTGAGACGTCTACAGTCTGCATGCGGGACTTGATTGTGTCGGCCGGGTAGAACAAGAAATTGTAGCTGATTCCAGCCGTTGCTCCTGCGATCATTTGTTGGTGGATGGGGAGCGAGTCGGAGGTCAATTGCGGGTTTGACTTGTTATAGTTGCGGAAGAGCGACGATACGCCCTCGTATCCGCCGAACCATGCTGCACTTCCGCCAGTTTCGCGGATCAAGGTTCCCATTTGGCCGCGCCAGAACCCTGCCAGCCCTTCATGTCGGAAAATGCCTGCAATGATGGCCATGGGGCCACTAGGTTTGAGAGCTGACTCGGCGGGCACCTGCATCCTGCATTTCACCAGTTCAATAGGTGTGAGTACCAGCGATGTCACCGAGCCGGATAGAGCTCCACAAGCAATGAGAGCGAAGAATGGTAGGTGCTCAACGCCTGGGTAGACCGTTGCGCGCAGGGTATCCTGAATGAGACGGTAACTGAAGAAGAGACAGCTGGTCTCCACCGCAGCGCCAGTCATAGGGGCACTGATGCCTCTGTATAGTCCTCGGAAGCCATCAGCTCGGAAAGACTGGCGGAAACAATCCACTGGTCCTGCATATCGGAGAGGGAGGTGTTCGGGTTGGGACTGTAGTCGGACCTTGACTGTGTCAAAGGGATACTCGAAGAGTTTGCCTGCCATTCCTGCCGACTTTGGAGACTGTCAGTTTAAGTCTCCTGCATGTGCCAAGGACTTCCTTACCGATCCAAATATGATATCTTTCATCGCCTCAAGGCCCTGGTTGGGTGGGAGCGATGGTAGCTCCATCGGTTCACTAATAATCGCATGCTCTGTCGCCATCAAGTAAGATTAAGATATGGGAAAAGAGAGTGTTATCGTGGGATCATGGTATGGGAAACCGGAGGTATAAGTAGTGTGACTGGTGGGGGGAGGGGCGGTGTAACGAGGGATTTGATGGGCCTACAGGGTGTGCCAAGCCACCGTGCAGAAAGCTAAGATGATAATGGAAATGATTGCAGCCCAAAGGAAAGAATATGGACTAAAAGTAATGTAAAACAGTCAGGAGGTGAGTCAAGAGTGGAAAAAAAAGGTGGAGTCAGGAAATTTGGGCCGAAGCATTTTCTCTGTTAGCGGGCGCCAAGACATTTTATCAGATCGAGATAATCAATGAAAAACTCGGTCTCCGTTTTTTTTTTCTTGGTCTCTCTTCTTTGCTTCACGTTTCCTCCATCCCACCCCCTTCTTGACTCTCTTGGAATTGCTCTTTTTTTCCAAGTCACATATTTTATCATGTCTACCTCAACAGCTACAGTCGTACCTCCGACTACCGGAGTACGGAAAAATGGTGAGTGAAAAAAAAAGAAAATTTATATAATACCCACTCCCCACTTCCCTACTCTTCCTCGTCGCCCCGGCTAACCCCATCGGACCTTCAGGTAAAAACTGGCATGGTACCAAGAAGGCTTTCCGCCCTACTGCCGGTTTGACCTCATACGCTAAGCGTCAAGAGCTCAAGAAGCACAGCGATGCTGTCAAGGAACTTGAACGTGAGATGAAGGAAGAGGCTGAGGCTGAACGAAAGGTATGTCGATATTATTCCTTTTACTTTCTTAATTTGTCTCACTATCCTCCTTTTGTGTCTTTGTCTGGTTTTCATCTCTTGTCAGCCCTGTCTCCATAATAATGATATTATCTCCAACACATCACTTCCCAAGATGGTATCACTAACCGATGAACCATTTCCAGGCCCGTATCCAGCGCATCAAGGACCGCCGAGAAGCCAAGGAGGAGAAGCTACGTTACGAGAAGATGGCCGAGAAGATGCACCACAAGAGACTCGACCGTCTCAAGCGCAGAGAGAAGCGCAACAAGTTGCTCAGCTCTTGAAGCTGTTAATGGTCTTTCTCTATATCTCCGCCATACCATCTCTCCATTTCCTCCAGGACTGCATTGTGTGTATATACATCGGCTTGTCGAGACTTCTTCCTTCTTCCTTGTCCCTGGCGGGAAAGACTGGGCACTCATTCCGGCGTGGGCTGTTCGATTACAGGCGTTTTTTTTTAGGTTAAGTCATAGGTCACTACTAGCGAGCAAGACAAATGTTTCTCTATAATCGCAATAGATTCTTTAGCGTAATCGTATTGAAGGGAGGACTACCTAGGTACGGAGTATATATATGATACTGCCAGCTACAGAGTCGCTGATCGGTCTTCAGCCTTGGCGTCATCGATCCCCCCCAAACTCCACACTCCAACCCGCACCAAGCCTCCAAGCTTCCAAGCTTCCCCAAGCTTTTCATCACAGGATGTAACGCCATGGAACCTCCATATAAATACGCATCTTTCTCAGCATCCCGAGGAGCCTCCGCTACATTCCCACCCACCCAAGCTCCCACCCGGAGCCAGAACCAAAGCCTGCAAACCAGCGACCTCCAGTCCAACTCCGAGGACCTCTCCAGATTTGGCAGCCAAGAAGCCCCCCAAACAGACCGAAGAAAGACCCGCAGTTCGCATCGCCATGGCCCCGGTGATCGTCCAATCTCCCCCAAAGGAGAGCCCGCCTCCCGACATCGAACTCGCCCATCTCCATCCCCTCGCCCGCTAGATCCATCCACCTTCGATGGCACAAAGACCCACCGCCACAAGCATAGCAAGTCGCGGGATCTGCGCTTCCCTAATCCCATGAGTCACCTGGCTTCCTCGGCGAGCGCAAGGGGATTGCTCCCTACGTGGTCGGGCGGGAAGGATAAGGACCGCGAGGGCGACGACGGGTTGTTGAGGCCCGTTACGAGGGAGATGACCCAGAGCCGATGGGGCTCTGATTCAACTAGTGGTCTATCCGATGGTCGAAAGGGGAGTCTGCTTGATACACCTGAGCAGCATGAGCGATTGGCGCCTATCCGCCGGAATGAGATTCATTCCGTGGATGACCTAGAGAAGATTAAGAAGCGGAGGAAGCTAGGTGAGGAGTATGTCTTTGTTTTTCCTTGGCTACTTTGCACGCAGGGAATTGACTAATGGTTGTTCCAAGGTATCTACGATCTGCATTGACTTCAATTGGGACGTTGGCGACAGACGTCACCCGTCGGCTCGACTACACCTATTACAACCTGCTTGAGAAAATCACAGCGCTCAATTCGACTATCTCCTTGTTCCAGGAACTCTCCGACTCAGCGTCGACACTTCTTAATGACTTTGAACGCGAGACGGCCGGGTTAGACCAGGATATCCGTAAACAGCTCAATGACCTGAAAGGGTTCGAGCCACAGATCCAAAAGGCTGATGCGTTAGAGCAACGCATGAAATCAGGCCGACAGCGTGTCGAAGAACTAGGCAAACGGCTCGAGACCGTACGACACGAGATCGATAGCTGGGAGCAGCGGGAAACAGAATGGCAAACCCGGACCAGTCGTCGACTACGCATCTTCTGGGGCATTGTCACAAGCGCGCTGTTGGTGCTTGTACTTGCTCTGGTCATCCAGAACTGGCCAGTATTCTGGTCTCCCCAGACTGAGACGTCACGTTTGACAGTATCGAATCACTCGCCCTCTGTACCACCTCAGTCCGAGGTGTGGGATGAGGTTCTCGGTCTCGGGGGAAGAGGATCAGGGTCTGATTCATGGCCTTCTCGATATCCGTCCAACCTTGCAGATCGCCGCGAGACCCTGGCCAAGGCTGGTCCGACTTCGACGGTCCGGTCAGGGCATGATGCAGCACCTGCGGAACGTGATCCTTTGACTGTGCTGGATGAATTATGAAATGTTTTTCTTGTGCTCCGGACCCTGAACCTAGACCTTATCTCGGCCCCAACCGGGATTTCTGGGTCCTGTGCTTGAATTGTCTTCAATTTGTACTTTTATTTTAGATTTATGTCATGATACCCAGTCCGCAAAGGATTCGTGTTCGTCATTATACCATTGGGCCCTCGCTCTTCTTCTTCTTCTTGTCTTCAATCAATTCGATATTAGACGCGGGGATCTTCTTGCCGTGGATCTCGAGGAGCCATTCACGCAGGTCATCACTGACATCACCCTGAACGGTGATCTCCTCAATACCGGCGGGGGAGCGGGTCACTGAAGAGCCTGTAGCAAACTTCTTGCCCAAATCCTTTGCGATCTTCTTGTTCTCCAGTCCGAAGACCTCCAGTCCAATCACGACCGTCACATACTTGCGCTTGTTACGTTCGACACGCTTGATCTGAATCTTGGAGGCAGCCTTGCGCTCGCTATCGCGTGCCTCGTTGGCGGCGGCTTTGGCCTCCTTCTTGGCGGCGTCTTTGGCGGCACGTTCTTGGGCTGAGACGGAGAGGGTAGAGAGGTTGGCGCTCAGGGCATCTGATAGAAGAAGGAGTGTTAGAAGATCGGTCCCATTTTCGAGATTTCGGATTGCCCGATGTAGGTAATGGACAGCCAAGTAGCATGGGAGCTTTGGTACCTTCAGAATATAGTGTGTCCCACAGACCCGACTCGTTTTCCTTAAGCCACTCTTCACATTTCTTCGCGGTACCTCCAAACTCGCAGTACTAGACAAGAACCCCGCATGTCAGAAACATAGATCTCCAAAGGTTTATTCAAATTGCGATTTATGCAGGCTCTGTGGGCGCTTTCTAGTGGCTAGGAGCTATGCCACGCATGAATCCCAAACCCCGATGATAAGAGCTAAAGAAGCAAGGGCAAGAGAGCGGGGAAAAGGAAGGCTGGGGCCTTCACTTTGGGGGACTGAGAGCTGGGGGAAAGAAGGTCATACCTCGGGGGGTAATGTGCAGACTATCATTTGGTCAGTATGGGGTTATCAAATTGCACACACAAGGGTCCTCACCTCCACAATAGACAACATGTCTTGCCTGAGTAGGTTCTAATTCAGCCATGTTGTGTAATATGATAGTTTGGTCTAGACTTGTTCTTCTGATAGAATCAACATATGGCGGGGGCGGAGGGGTTCTGCCAATCCTGTTTTGGCTATATCACGTGCAATCGTAGTATGATTGGATCATTTTACATCGCAAAAAGAAAGTACCTCTTTATCTCCAGATTGAAATGTCACATATCTTTGCCTATTACCAGTCTCTGAATACTGAAACTGGAAAGTTGGGGGGGGGGGGGGGGGCGATGCAGGAAAACCCCCTTATGAGTCGTTTCACTACCTCATAGATAGGGCCAGGCGCACCAATTGATGCATTAATTGATACCTAGGTCGACCCACAAACGTCTGATAAGATAGTCAATTGCAACCTTGCAATCCTTGTGTCTCGCATCTTGCATCGGGGATGTCAGAACCGGTCTCCCGTGTTATCAGTAATGAAGAGAGGGAGTTGATTACCCCTGTGGATGTGAGTGTTGGCAACGTCAAAGCAGTGCAGAGAAGATATTGCCAGCCAATGATCGAATGTGACAAACGTCAAAAGAGGCCCGTGAGAGACCAGGGGCGCATCGTACCGATCAAGCCAGGAAGTTTAGCAGGGCCAGACCATATGGGAAGTTTATATTATAGGAATCTACGGAGTAGATCCTACCGAATTTCAAGTTGCATGTCCCTAGGCCCCGTGAATACTTTATAACATGCAGTGATGAGCGGTTACCACTGGCTATGATTTGCATCAATGGCGCGTCCTAAGAACCGATGTCGAGGGTTTTCGCCAATCATGACGGTCCTGGATGCCCAGATGTCGATGCAAGCGCACAGACAAAGGCAATTCGGTGTATATCCTCTTTTTTTTTTTTTTTTTTTTGGCTTTTCTCTTTTTCTGTCAAGTTCGGCGCTTTTTTATCTCTACCTTACGTATTCTCATCTAGGGGAGTTGGGAATTGGAGAGAATCTAGTCGATGTAGACCCCATACACCGGGACTATCTGACTATCCGTTTTACCCTTACAGGAACAATGCTCTTAGCTTCGGCTTGTATCTCCGGTCGATCATGGCTATTTTTTTTCCTTCTGACAGGGTTAAAAATATACATTTTTGGAAAAAGCCATTGCCTCGGTTAGCCTGTGAGGCGATCTGGACCTCAAATATATTCAAAATCTCGTGAAGTGGATCGAAGGGGTCCGACTCTCTTGGAAAACTAAAAGTGCTCAGGCCCAACGGATGCATCGGAGAACTATAGGCCTCCGTGATACTCCGATTATTAGTACTTTTATATCTTTCAATTTTCATCTAAAATGTATATATAATTATACTCCACAAAATCGACCGTTATAGACGTTATAGACGCATAAGACTTGCATATCTTAGTGGAGAAGGGTCGGAGAAGTTATAATAGTTAGTTTATAAGTCTAGTCTATAAGTCTAGTTTATAAGTCTAGTTTATAAGTCTAGCCTATAAGTCTAGTCTAGGTCTAGGCCTAAATTCAGTGGCAAGTTCCAAGTTCTTGCTTTTTCTTTTGACTAACATCCATCCCTTCCCTATAATCCCCCAATCCCCAGAAACCGGGTATATATCTCCACCTGATTTCGATCTTCCTGTTCTACTCTTCCTCTTCCCCTTCTCCTTTAAGGATATACCCATCGCCTGGGTATGGTATATCTGACATTCAACCCCTCCGCGTGACCTCTATCATATTACATCATTGAAAAAAAAAAGGGATATGACGGCTTTGTTGACTCCCCGCGAAACTCATTCGCCCTTCCCGGATCCTCTACGCTGTCCTACGGGTCCTACTGCGCAGCGATATTTCTTAGAAGATCCCACCATCCCAAGAAAATCAATGCAAGATGACTATCGTGCGAGGGACTCATCCCCAGTCGCAAATCTTCCCTCTGCCCCCCTTCTCCCATCCTCACTCCGATCCCTGGGGAAATCGCCTACGCGCCTATAAACAACCTATCACCAGAAAATGAACTCATCCTACCTTCCTACGACACAGAATCCCTTGCCAAAGAACCAGACGAGAGTGACGCGTCGACAGAATCACACCCTTCGTGGATATTACACACTCCATCGGCCGATGACAGTTTAATTGAGGATGAGCCATCGAGACATGTGGACTACCTTTCACATGACTGGAAGGAGGAGGATATATGGTCCTCCTGGCGTTATGTGACGAGTCGGAGAAACGATTATAGTAATGGAGTGAGATTGGAGAATGCCTCTTGGAGGACATGGGCCAAGGCCAAGCACAACCTGAAGACGATATCGCCGGAAAGTCTCAATTGGTAGGTTTTCGTGATTTATTGATTTAATTGATCTTGTCTTTTGGTTCACCCCGCTAACCTTCTATCAGGCTGAAAGACTGCGATGTCACCTGGCTATATGGGCCATTAAAAAGTTCCGTCGAACGTGCAACCTCCCCATCCCCCCTCCCAGTCGCTTGGATACACCAAACTCCTATCTAGACCGAAAGCCAATCCTGAAGAAGAAGACCGCGTCCGAGGCTATCCTCCAGCGGTCACTATCTCAACATACCTTACTCCAACATGCCGGAGCCATTCTCAAAGCCCAAGAAGCTGAGACCAACTGGGCTCGGCCACCTTTCCCGAGGTCCAACACAGACTTGGACCATTTGCATCACCGGACTGGGAGCTCGACCTACTCTCTCGGTGGCACTCTCACTACCTCCTCATCTGGAATGACATCTCCAAGCGAACGACGCCATATTCACTTTAACAATGAAGTCGTACAATGCATCGCGGTTGAAGCCAAGGGCTACGAGGATTGGCCAGCCACTTTTGACGAGTCATCTTCCGACGACGGCATAGTCATGATAAGACAAATCTCCGGCCGATCCTCCCTCAGCAATCGCAGTACCCCACACAATAGCTTCAGCGGCGATGGGAAAACCATCGCCCCTCTCCCCTCCACCACGCTCAAGTATCGCGGGGATGTCCCCGAACCCCACGCTCAGACGATCCTTGATCGATGGTCCACCCCTCGGACGACATCACCAACTCCCTCTGTGGAGACTATCCGTCCGTCGGGGCCATCAGAGCCCTCGGCCAACTTCCTTTTGGATGAATGTGAAGATCCTAGTTTGGACTTCACGGGCAATTACCCCGATCGTGATCGCGCATGGTTGATGGAAGATGATTCATCAGATCGCCTCCGATTCACTGCTTCGGGCATGATCATGCCGGAAGGCGAGACCGAGACCCCCAGCAGTAGTATCTTGGACCGGGTTGTGGACACGGTGAACACTGCCCGAGACATTGCCCATGTAATTTGGAATGTGGGCTGGCGCCGTTGATCTACAATCTTCACGAACTTACGATATGGTTAGACCGTACATAATATGAAACGAGGTTATATCCTGTGGCGTTAGGGGTGGATTTGGCTATAGAATGGAAGGAATCATGTAACGACATAATGCATTTAAAACAAGAAATTTGGAATCTATAAGATTTGGTAACTAGTTATAAGGGTTGAGAATACCTGAGGCATCTATAAGCTATTTACTCCGTAGTCTTGTTTTCCATTATAAGACAATCTATTCATATGCTTAAATTAATAAAAGATCGACAGGTTAAATATCAATTGCCCCACCCCCTGATCTTCTTTCTTCTCTTTGAATTTCTGAACTTCTATTGAAGATATGGAGACCGTCAATGTCGCTGAATTGGTCGAGCGACTGGGTAGCGATGAAGATGCCGTTCGTAAAATGGCCGTCTTCAAGCTCCAAAGCAACATCGGAGACCCATCCTTCGCCGATATCTTCATCGCAGAGGGGGGCTAGTTCGATTACGCTATCTCACCCTTCATGCAAGCGGAAATACCCTAGCATATAGCTTGACGAGTTTCTCAAGGCTGCTCGATGTCGACAAGGGGTGGGAGTGTGTTGACCAGGAGTTGGTGGAGCGTGTGAGTATCCTTGAAACCATTGCAGTGCTCTCTGTGTTTACTGTCCCCCTTTCTGTCATCTCAGATGCTAATGCGACTGTCTAGATTGTCGAGCTGATCGTCACCCATCCCCTAGTCAATATCCTCCGTGGTGCTATGTCCATTCTCGTCTCTATTGTTTCCCACCCGTACGCCGGGAACCGTGCGTCCCAGGTCGACAACTTTGGTTTCCGCGCCCTAAAGCCTGCGATCGCCATATACCCCCAGTTCCTGGAGATGCTCGTCAGCCGATTATCCTCCGCAGACCATGCGCTATGTGCTAATGCGCTCCAATTGATCAATTCACTCATGCGCGACTCGATCACCCACGACCCCGAGGCGGAGTGGCCCAAGTTTATTCAAAAATTACAGGATCTGGGCGTGATCAGAGCAGTATATGTGCTGATGCAGGATTCCGCCCTTCAGGACCTAGCGCATCCGCTGCTAGAATTCCAGTCACTCACCAAGATCCTGCTACGCAAGTGGCGAGATATCCCTGTCCACCAGGAAAAGCCGGAGCATCGCCGTGCGCTGAAGGGGATTTATCTGGCCAGTAACCCAGAGAAGAACCCCGACGAGGCTACCGAGAATGTTGACGACACACGGCGCTCTAGGCGACACCATCCGGAAAGGTGGAGGCGGCTTGGGTTTGAGACGGAGAGTCCGGCGGGAGAATTCTACGAGGTCGGTTTCCTGGGTATGATGGATCTGGCGGACTATGTGCGCAGTAATGGGGATGAGTTTCAAAATATGCTCTTGGAACACTCTACAAAGCCATCACGACAGCGGTGTCCGATTGCGCGGGCATCGTTGGCGGTTACATCCATCTTATACGAGCATTTCGAGGTCGAAAAGTCCGACCTGGATGATACAAAAACATATCTCATTTCAGAGTCCCGTACGGGCTTTGATAAGCTGTTCCAGCCATTACTGTTACATTGGACCCGACTGCATGTGGCCGGATTAAAGGCCTTCTTCCGTCTGTGGAAGGCGACTGCCGCCGAGGAAGAGGACTTGGACAAGCTCATCGAGCTTGTGCGCATCCTTATTGAGTCCGTGGTGGGCGGAGCTGCTCGGATCAAGGATGTCCAGGATGTCGAAGAGGAACTGGCCGATTTCGAATATCACCGATTGCGCGGGCTGCAAATGGAACTCCTTGAACTGACGTACGAGGACGCATGGGGCCAGCACTTGCGACAGGTGCGCGAGGAACTTAACCATGAGGCTCTCCAGTTCGTCAAGGAGCAACGGATTCGATCTTTGCTCCAAGGTAGCTGGTTCTCTCTGGACCCTCACTTCAAGTCGGAGTCGGGGGCAGTGCAAAAGTCTACTGCCACATATCAATATGCCCAGCTCTCTCATAACCGACGATACTTGCATTTCGGTCAATTTGACCTGATGGGCGACCGACCCCCGGAGTTGGACACCCTACCAGAGAAAAGTGAGTGTCACCGAGTTTTTGCTTATCTTGTAGTTTGCTGCTAACACCGTTCCCCTCGACAGTCGATCTCTCCATCGTATCATCGGTAGTCTCCAACGTCTCCACCAACCCAGACCATTCCTCCACAGCCACCGTGAAGACCGCACCACGTCAACCCGCAACCAAGATCACCATCCATGGCTACGCGCCCTCCACAGCGACTGGACACGGAAAAGGCCATAGTCACGCTCGGTCCGGCAGCAGGACCACCCAAAAGGAGGTAGTCCTGCTCACGCTGCGGCCGTCCTCGCACAGCATTGCGTCCGAATGGTTGGATGGTCTTCTGATGCTTCTCAACCAGCAACCCATCACTGCAGAGACAAGCAAGCTGATTGACCTAGTCAGCAACTATGGGCTGAAGATCCGCCTGCTCAATGTGCGGTTTGACGATGCCACGTTCGCTGGTGAGGCTCCCCAGGTCCCTGCGAGAGATGGCCTGGATGAAGATTATTACTATGATGTATTTGGAGGTGCATAGGGAGCACTTTCTCTATAAGTCTTTTCTTTTCTTTTGGTTATTTGGGGATTTTGGTAGCTTTGGCTCTGCCGACTCAGATTCTGGTCAATATACCCGCTGTGCAATTTGTCTTGATGTAATTCTATATATTTAACATTAATATCTACATTCACATCTCATTTTTACACTGTATATACATATACATGTATACATCCATATATACATCGGCAAAAGGCCCACCGCTTGGCGTCATAAGCTTATCGGATCTCAACTTCTCCAGGTTTTTGACCAATTCATCATGGACGGTCGTCCCCCTAAAAGACAACGCAGATCTAAGGATATAAAGCCAATCAAATCAACTCGAAAAGTCGTTTCAGATAGCTCCAGTCCTATCGAATCAACAGAACCTTTCGCCCTCTCCTCGCGCCCCAAAACCTCCTACTCACGCGCAACACCATCAACCCGGCTCCCTTCGTCCTCACCCTCTCCAAACCAAAAGAACAAATCGTCATCAAATCCAAACTCAGAATCCAAGTCCCTGCACAGCTTCTTTCAGCCCGCAACAGAGGGACAGCGATGGGCACCAAAGACCGAAAAGCAGTCCCTCCCGCCGGTCAGGGAGACTGTCGACGTGGACCTGATTGAAGATGACTACGACTCTTACGATGAAATATTCACACAGCATCTAGCTAATGAGCGAGCGGCAACGGGTCTGGCGGGTGTGAGCTCCAGCCAGACGCGTCAACCTGCGCCAAAGCCAGCGCCAAAACCAAAGCCAAAGGCCCCAGTCAAACCACCGCGGAAGACGACAAAACGGTTCCTTCTCTCTACGGACTCTGGGAAAGGCACTGCGAAGGAGCCATTGGCTGCGCAGCCGGCTGGCGAACCGGACCGTCGACCATGGGCTCAGCGGTTCGCTCCAGCGAACTTAGGCGAATTGGCCGTTCATAAAAAAAAGTCTCGGATGTACAGCATTGGTTGGAAGATGCCTTTGCTGGGAGACGTTCTGAGGTGAGCTTTTGATCAGCGGCGGGTAATTCGGGATTTGGGTTTGAAGGTCTGACAATATGCAGAGGTTACTAGTCCTACGGGGTCCGGCAGGCAGTGGGAAGACGACCACTGTATCCCTGCTCTCCGATTCACTTGGTTACGACATTGTCGAGTGGAAGAATCCCCCGGTTTCGGAATTTGGAGCTCGCGATTATCAATCTGTGAGCGCGCACTTTGAAGAGTTTCTTGGACGGGGTAATAAATTTGGAGGGCTTGACCTCGAAAACGCCAGCGAGCTCGATCCTCAGAAAGATGAAAAATCTCGGGACCAGCGGATACTTCTTATAGAGGAGTTTCCCACTGTGCTTGGCCGGGCGTCCTCCGCCCTCACGGCGTTTCGGACATCTCTTCAACGATATTTGGCTGCCGCTGCGAATGATCATGCCCGGAGCAGTTCTGGATCGAATCACCCGCCCATCGTGATCATTGTGTCGGAGAATTTGTTAGGATCTGCGTCTTCGATCTCAGATAACCTGACAGTTCACCGGTTACTAGGGCCCACGATCTACAATCACCCTGGGACAACGATATTGGATTTCAATAGTATTGCACCCACTTTTATGCACAAGGCTTTGCGGTCTATTTTGGATAGAGAGGCGCTGAACTCCAGACGTGTCCAAATACCTGGGCCTGGTGTTATAGACAGTATCTCTGAAATCGGCGATATCCGCAGTGCAATCTCATCTCTCGAGTTCCTCTGTCTCAAGGGGGACGATACGGGGAGATGGGGAGGCAGCGTGATCAAAACAAAGAAAGCCCGCGGCGAGGTTGCTTTAACGGCGATGGAGAAAGAGTCTCTCAAGATGATCACTCAGAGAGAGGCGAGTCTGGGCATGTTCCATGCCGTTGGGAAGATCGTGTACAACAAACGCATGGACCCGAGCCTGATCGAGGGCGATATCGAGATCCCTCCACCTCCACCGGACTATCTACGCCACTGTGCCCGACCAAAAGCTTCACAGGTATCGGTCAATGACCTGGTCGACGAGACCGGAACCGAAATCTCAACGTTCATCAGTGCTCTCCATGAGAACTACATCCCATCCTGTGATGGGGATAATTTCACCGACTATTTCAACGACTGTATCGATGCACTCTCCGATAGCGATATCCTCAGCGCCGACCGCCGACCAGGGCAAGGGGCACGGGCCGGCATAGGAACCGGAATTACCTCTTTCGGTAGCGGCATCGACGTGCTCCGGCAGGAAGAAATGAGTTTCCAAGTTGCGGCACGTGGTCTTCTTTTCGCCCTTCCATACCCGGTCAAGAGACGGGTTGGGTCAACTGGACGAAGCCGTGCGGGTGATGCCTACAAGATGTTTTACCCGGCATCTCTGCGATTATGGAGAGAGGCTGAGGAGATCGATGGACTGATCGACTCATGGATGAACCGATTACTCGATCCTTTTGGACAGCAGCATCTTTCCCAAAATGGCTCTGACCTCACGGGTGTCAGTTCCTGGAGAAATCTCCAGGTGGGAAGGTCGGCCTCGACCAACTCGGGGAACAAAGATGACAGTCCAGGTATGGTCACGATGCTGCCCCGAAATGATCTACTGCTTCATCAACTACCCTATATGGCTGCAATCCGGCATCAGGACCCGGATTGTTGGCAGTTGGATAAAATCACTCGCATTCGTTCGAATGAGAATCTTCGTAATGATGGCATTGACGATATGGAAGAATCTCCAGCACAGCGTATGAAGCAACCTAATAATGCTTTGGAACCTGGACCCGAGAAATTGATACTCAGTGATGATGATATCGTTGATTGATATAGATGTACATAGTTCAATGATAATCTAATAAGAGATATAAAGAGTATTTTACCTATGTATATAGTACATGCTAGTTATATGCTATAGATGCTATATATACTACCTATAGGTATATCTCGTGATCCACTCTCTTATCGCCCCAGCTTTGTTTCAACCACGTCACGCCTTTGTCCTTTGAACCTGAAAAAAATTCCTAGGTAAGTCAAATTCATCTTTACTTTATCACCACTCACACTCAAATAGAATGCTCAATGATCATGAACCATCCAAACGAGGACGCGACTCCTACCTGATCAATCGTTCTCGAGGCTCTGTGAACTCAAATGAAAACGCGAACCTCGCTTCGATCCCTTCTCGAAAATCCGACAAGCTTGACTATGCTCAATTGAAGAAAGATGCCCCGGGCCTCGTTGCTGCCGCTGCTCACGCGGCGGTTCCTAGTTGGACAAGCATGATTTTAATGGTCTCTCTTATCTTCGGGGGTTGTTGTGCCAATGTGGGTGTCTAGAGAAACCCCCCAAATGCTACTATGGGGTAAAACAGGAACTGATCTTGGGTATAGGTATTTGCGCTAGAGGCGATTATCAAGTAAGTCAACAAGCCAGGTCGTTCAAACGCAACGCTAATCCCAATTCTCCAGGGAACAGCCTACTGCCGGTAAGCACAACCACTAAAAACAAACCACATCGCATACCCTAATACAACTCGTTCCTCCCGCACAGGTCCCTTGATAACCTTCGCCCAATTCGCTACCTGCGCTCTATTCACCATTCCAAGCTTCCTGTCCCCCTCAGCCGGACCACGAGCCCTATTCTTGAACCCACGCGCTATTCCACTACGCTCATGGGTGGTATACACTGCCTATTTTGTAAGCGTCAACCTTCTCAACAATTGGGCCTTCGCATACAAGATCTCCGTCCCATTGCACATAATCCTCCGGTCCGCAGGCCCCGTCGCCTCAATGGTAATCGGCTATATATACAACGGCAAACGCTATTCCCGGGGCCAGATTGCCTCGGTAGGTATGCTGACAGTAGGCGTGGCGGCAGCCGCCATGGCCGACGCGAAATCCAAAGGCGTTTCTATTCACGTCGACTCCGATACGACGGACACGATGACGACCGTGACGGGCTTCACGATCCTTGCGCTGGCGATGGTCCTCTCTGCATTCCAGGGAATCTATGCCGACCGGTTATACGCAACTTACGGCAGGGATCATTGGAAAGAGGCGCTTTTCTATTCGCATGCGCTTTCTCTGCCGCTTTTCTTGACCAGTTGTCCGCAGTTGCTGAGTCAATGGCGGGTGGTGACTTCGTCACCTTCTTTGCTGTCGCATCTGGATTCCGGGCTGTGGGTGTCGTCCGGTACTGGGAGCACTGCTTTCTCGGTGCTGGGGCAGATTTGCCAGATTGGGGCTGTGAAGTCTTTCCTGGCGCAACTTCCGGTTCAGGTAGCTTATCTGGCTATGAATGCACTGACGCAATACCTATGTATCCGGGGGGTTCATCTTTTGTCGGCCAAGTCGTCCTCGTTGACAGTCACTATTTTCTTGAATGTCCGCAAGCTCGTTTCGCTGCTCCTGTCGATTTATCTCTTTGGAAATCATTTGGCGGGAGGTGTCTTGAGTGGCGCGGCTCTAGTGTTTGTCGGAGGTGCTTTATATGGCTTCGAAGGTGCACGTCTACGAAGCGTTGCCAAAAAGGCTCAGTGATATTGCATATTAGATGTTGATCTGTATATCTAGACAGGATTCCTTTTGCATATTATATAGTTTCTTACGGCCTTTATGTGTTATACGTGTGAATTGCACTAAAAGGAAGGATATATCGATAGCATGTGCACGCCGCAATAGTTGTACATAAATTGAGAGAAGCAATATCTCCCCACAGTGGCAGGGCGTCAAGCATGACGCAGAAATCAAGATCACCTAGGCTTAACCCCCGAGCCAGACCAAAATACAAAATAGAGAATTCTATAAAACCTCGCCCACGATCTTGGCAGCTTCTTTGTATGTTTCCAATAGCCGCTCACACTTCTCTCTCTCGGCCTTGATGCCATCATCCTCGTAGAGAAGCTCGCTGAAAAGATCTTCTTTATAAAGTTCGCTCACGAGTCTGTTCTGCACTACATCCTTGCAGTGGTTGACCAGGAGGTGCATGACAGCCTTGGGAACCTGGTCTGCAATGGTCTCTCGGACGATGTTAAAGTATGATGAGATGAGGCGGCGAATGAGCTCGGTTTCGAGCATCTCACGGTCCGTGAGTGCAGGCTCGGTGTTCTCATTAGGCTATAAGAGTTGAAGTCAGTCAGGTGTATGCAAAGCCTAACGCCTGCGCGGTGGTACTTACGAAGACAGATACGTCACCACCATACTCCGATGGTGCACTGTACTCTTCAGTCGGCATAATGGGAGCCCGAGCCTCCGCACGCCGAATGCTCTGGCTAATACTGGGCTCGCTAGCATGTGGCCCTTGCCGGTGGGGGTTCATGCCCGCCGGGGACATGGCCATGTTGTGAGTGCCTTCCTTGCCGAAGAAGTAGTTCAGGAATGAATCCCGGGCAGTATTCGAGGCACCGCCGCCGAACGCAGCATGGTTAGATTGAGCGCCATTCAGGGTAGCAGCAATACCATTTTCGCCTGTGCGGCCAACGTGGGGAGACATGCTCCGCGATCCCTTGGAGGAATGACTTCGGATGGGGAGGTTTTGCTTGTCGGCATATTCTTCTTCGTCGGGACCTCCCGTATTGCCATTGGGAGCTCCCAATTCCTTCTGACGTCGTTTATCACGCTTTCGTTTTTCCTCTGCTAGCACGGCTTTTCTTTCTTCATCCTGCTTGTTCTGCATGATTGAAGACATGGCAGCTGCGGCACCAAGGAAGTTTGGGTGGTTTGTGTTGATGTAAGCTCTTTGGATTGAGATCAAAGATTCTACATAAGTCGAGCAGGGGCCCAGGCGCTCACGAAGAAGGTCAGATACGACCTCAATCAGCTTTCCTTGGAGACGAGGGAAGCGCAGTAGTTCTTGGTTGCCACAAGTGTGACAGATCTTGATAAGCTCCTCATAGACCAGCTCCACGCATCGTTGACTGGGTGATTCAAGGAGCTTAATCTGTGGTTTGACCAGCAAATCAAAGGCCAACTCTGGGACAAACAGGCTGGGGCGAGGACCTGTCGAGTTTCGGATAGCCGTTCGGATATCGGAGACAGTCAGGTTATGGGTGGGGTCTATCGTTTCCAGTGAGTTTCCAAAAACAGAGTTGAAAATGTAGTAAATCCTTGCTCCACCGCATAGCTCTTTGGTAGAAATCTCCGATGAAGTTCCGTCGATAGATGAGATGAATGAGGCAGCAAATCTGGTCATCTGCTGAAGAATCAATGACCCCCGGTGTTCTTCGCCGCTGAACTGTTTGTTTCCATAGCTGGCCAATTCTTGCTGAGTCTGACCCATCAAAGTATTCAGCCGAGCCTTGATATCCGGAAGCCGGTCTCGGATGTGAGACATCAGGGTTGAGTTCAGGGTCTTGGCCAAAAAGTGCGTACCGCAGCGGTTGGCCATATTCCTGTAAGCTGGGTGATGCCGGAAGAACTCAGACTCTGCCCGCAATGCATCGGCAAGCGATTTTCCAGACTGGATATCCTGCTGAGATCGGTTGACAACGCCGATAAATCCAAGCTTCAGGGGATACACACGTCCAGAGAGGATGTCCATCGCATTGGTGCCATGGTCCATGAGATCCAGCTTTGACAAAACACCAATCGTCCTCCGGCCCATGGCATCCACCTGGCGGGCAAGCTTCAGCGCCTCGGAATTGACTAGATCGACATTGGCCGGAGAAACCGCAAGGATTATGCTGTTCGGTTTGGCGATATATTCCAGAATCAAGGTACGCGTTTGTTTCTCAATGTCGGACGGTTGGTCCCCGATGGGCACCTTCGTCAGTCCGGGCAGATCCACAAGTGTAAGGTTGAGCACATGGGGCGAGAAGATCTTGAGATTGATCGGTTGTCTATTGATGCCCTTGTTGCTTCCTGCGATCCTTGCCGTCTCCGCTTCGATCTCTTGCTTCACTTGTCCAAAGTCATCAAACTTGCGCCCCGGAAGGTGATGGAATTCGGCCCATTCGTGTTGACCGGCAACACTAGCAGCCGTGTGGGGGATATGGATCTCATCAGTTTCCGGCTTATCATCACGTTCACTGGGCACGTTGATAAGTTGCAGGATTAGGGGCCGTCGAGTGACAATTCCGCTACCTCTTGGTAGAAAATCCCTTCCGACTATATTCTCTAGGACCGAAGACTTTCCGGATGACTGGGAACCAACAACAACCTATGGAAGGTGGGGATTAGTCTTGGGTTGACCGGGTATCAAATGACAACTCCTTCTCAAACTCCGAGAGCTCTCTACCCGACCAGACTCACAATTTGAGGCAAATCCAAGGAATCATTCCCAATGGTATTGAAGACCAGATCCTGAAGCTTGTTCACTGTCACGAGCAGATCCTCGCCCAGCGATGTCATGATGTCGAACTGAAGAGGTACAAGAGTTAGGGCTCGGAGTTAAGAAAAGAAAAAAAGTAAAAGGTACACGCAAAGTGAGGTCGCGTGCAAACGGTCACCGGGATCCCTGTAGGCCTTGATCGACTCTCCTTGGAACCTTGGGAACGTTGTTGATGGCCACTTTTTCGGCACACGTGATGCTGATGTAAGCAGATACTCCGGGCCATGACGTCGATGATTCGACTTTACATATATTGATTTACATATATTATTAAATGTTCTATATGTTCCTATCTGTTCAAAAAGGTGATGAATTGGGTATTTTATACTCAAGAACCAAAGAATATATAGTCAGATCTACATATGTAGTTTGGTGAATCAATAGAATTTGAACTTGCTCTCGGATTGGACCTTTAGAGTATCTATGCTATGATCCAATCACTGGTCCAGGCGAACATAGTTGGCAGGGAATAGACCTTGCTTGCCATTGTACTCACCAAGCCACCAGTCATCATCCGGAAATTCCTACAACCAGGTTAGCACTGTAAATCGCTATGGCCCAAAAGGCCGAGAAAGACAGGGGATTGTTCCACTTACCACATTGGAAATCTTCGCATCTTCGGGGAAACCGATCTCGTTGTCCTCAGCGGCTTCGTAGTCATACAAAGCTGTGGCCGTGACACGTTTGGAGCTTGGAGTAGTCGCCGATGGGGCAGCGGCAGCGGCAGGTGTGGGTGCAACCGGGACGGGGGCAGCAGTAGGTTCTGGCTCTGGCTGTGCTTCATAATGATGGGAACCAGCCGGCGCGTGTGACGCAGGTTCGTTGTCTTCCTCAATCTCCACATAGTTGGCAGGGAAGAGACCACGCTCACCCCGAGGATTGACACCCACCCACCAATCTTGGTCCACCATTTCAATGTCGGTCACGTACTCTCCCTCTCGCAATTCGATCTCATTGTCCTCGGCCTTCTCATAGTCATATTGGACCTGAGCTCGTGGTCCGACTTTAGGTTGCTCGGGCTGCTGAGGGGCTGTTGCTGCGGCTGCAGCGCGGCCAAGGTCGTGAGAATCATCCTCAAGTTCCTTTTCATCTGGAACGACCTCCTGGAGGCTCCGAACAGGCATGGCAGGGGGAGGCGAGTGCTGCTCCTCATGGACATCCGCAACGCTGTCAGCAGCGCTGTGGCCAACCGGCATGGCAATCTGGATCGGCGAGCTCTCACGCACCGGGGGAGTGGGAGGTGTCGGGGAGCGAGGAGGCTGTGGTGGAGGAGTAGGGAGAACCTGCTGGGCATCGTGTTCGGGCTCAGACTCAACGGACCCAGAGGACAGCCCCGGGACAGGAACAGGGCGACTGGCCTGCGGAATGGGGGGAGCAGGGGGGCTAGCGGTGCGGGCGCAGGCGTGTCATGAGCGAATTGGTCACGAATACCACCCACATGGGTTTGTGGCTCATCCTCTTGCTGATCATTGGCCTTGGCATCAACAGGCTGCTCGGGAACATATGATTTATCCTGTGCAGTTTGAATGGGAGCCCAGGACTTGCCTGCATAGGAGCTCTTCCACTCGCCCTGGCCACTAGTTTGGCTTTGAATCGGGGCAGTGGTAGAGGCAGGCTCAGTGCTTCCAGATGACGAAGCTACTCCGCGTTCTTTGGCCTTGCGCTCTGCCCAAATTTGAGCAGGTGTCTTGCCTCCCTCGTCGGCAAAAGTTCGGCTTGCAACTCCAATCTGCGCACTCGAGGTTGGCTTAGGCTCAAGACCAACTGGGAGAAGGGGCTTTGTTCCTGGGAAGGAGGGGCTAGAGCCAAACTTGTTGGCAACCTTTGGTTTGGGTAGGTTGGTCAAGCGCTCCGAGGCATTGGAGGGGGCAGGTCGCTCTGGCAACGTTGTCGGCTGTTGGCTGACTGCGGTGCTCGATGGGACGTTCTCGATGGTGCCTTCCGGCTTCTGTGCTCTAGCTCGAATGGCAGCGATGTCTACTTTGCCAACGGGCTCGTAGGAGCCCTTGATAATTGCCGGGCGCTCATCTTTCAGCTGACCGGACGCGGCAGCTTGCTTCCGAATTGCCGCAATATCGACTTTGCCCACTGGCTGGTAACCACCTCTAACCACATCGCTAGAATCATCCGAGGTAGCGGCAGGTTGGCGACTAGCTGAGGGGCTCGCCTTGAGTTCTTGCAGGTTCACTCTAGTGGGCTGGTAAGCCGATTGTACCTTTTCCAATTGGGTGCGGGTCACGGGAGGGGCATCTACACCCCATCCATCATCATTCACGCTAGCTCTTGAAGGTGTGGGCTGTACGCGGGCAGCTGGTCTGGGAGTGATACCCCCAGATCGAGTCGGTGTGAAAGCAGGCTTGCTAGCCACGGCAGGTCGGGGGCTGGGGCCGGAGCAGAAGCCTCGCCTGCTGAATACTTGGAGCCGGAGGAATCTGCCACCCGCTGGACGATTCCCTCGGGGGTTAGATCCCCATCTGCTCGGGCTGTGACCTGCACATGATATCCCTATCCACCCAAGTCAGTCTCACCGCAGTTGCGTCATGGAAAGGAAACTCCTCACATGAAGGAACTTGGAAACTGTAGCCAGGTGGCTGGTAAAATAACCCTTTGTTCGCTCTGGTACACCTTCTCCACACCAGCCAATGAGAACGTTCTTGGGAAGACCGGTGTTGGAATCCGTCACCTTCACATAGGCGAATTGCACCCGTCCTTCGGAGAATTCCTCGATGAGATCGGCCAATTCACCCTCTGGCAGTACGATTTGTCAATGTGAGATGATGAGACGTAGAAAAAGGATTACTAACCTCCGGTGCTCTGGACCTTAAGGACACTCTCCTTACCTCCATCTTGCTGGAAGGCACTGACAAGCGGGGTAGAAACCGAGTAGACAGCCCATTGGCCATAAGTTGGAGACCCTCCATTCCCAGAAGGGGGTGGTGCATTCACCACTGTCTGATAACTTTTCGATATCGAGGGACCATTGGACGAGAGATTGAGAGAAGCCATGACTTCCGGATCGGATAGGCGGGGGGGAAGGGGGAGGAAGCTCAAAGTGTTTGGATGTTGTCCACGTGGGAGGTATGTTTGCTTGTTTTGTCACAAATATCTGTGTCTTATGCAGTGTGTCAGCATCAAAACAGTCAAAGCTCTTGGATAAGGTAGGGATATATAGGAGAAGAGGGAGTTTGATAGAGTTTGATGGAGTTGACATACTTGTAAAATGGAAAATAGAAGGAATGCTTTCAAGATAAGTACAAATATTGGAGAAAGGTCAAGGAAATTGATGAAGCCTAGAGGTGGGAGAGAGAGAGAGAGAGAGAGAGAGAGAGGTGTTCAGGGAGAGGTGTTTATAATACCAATACATTGTATACAACTATACATCATAGTAATATTTATATAACATCTTCATATAAAATGTATATAACTTTAGAATAATTCAAAACAAATAAATAATTTCCATTCAATTAATCTATAAAAGATCGATAAGAATTAAAAAAATAAAAATAAGACCGTTATATAGTCTAACTGATATAGTTGAAGATGTGGTGTATTGATGTGGTATGTAATTTACAAATTCTCCATGGACTTTCCCTTGTCTCACCGAGATAGATAGAGAGACCTTTGGAGCTATCGGGGGAGGGGGTTTTTTTTCTTATCTTGCTTCTTCTTCTTCCCCTTCTTCTTCTTCTGCTTCTCTTTTCTTTTGAATAATACTTTTTAATTCAATTACTTTCACCTCTTGTGAAACCCCTACTATCCCCTTGCAACTTTTCTTTTCTTTTATATCCCAGATATAGCAAGGGAGGGGTCATGGGACCTCAACCTGATCTTTCCAGTCGGAATGCCAACGCGTCCGCTGATTCTAACAATGAATCAGCCACTTCATCCCCGGGTCCCGTGGACTCTCTTGAAAGCCCCATTGCATTAGATCAGCCTGCAGAAGATATTTTGCCCAGAGATCGACAGCAGAAAACAGCCACCTATGACTATGCCTATGAGAAGTCCATGAGTCACGCTGAGGCAAGACTATTCTATCAACATCATCAGCTAGCCGCACGGAACGACACCCCTTTGAGTCCACCGGCCCTAGCCCGCTCAGGCGAATTACACCCCGAAGAGCCACCGGCTAACTTGTCGGATCCAATGAATACTCAAGCCCAGATCTCTCGCGAGGGATCTATGGTCTGTGAATCCGAACCCTCGACACTACGCCTGCAATCCGCTAGCGACCCCGATCCCTCTGCGTCTCATTTCCTCGAAGATGACTCAGATGAGGCGAACGATTCTGCCCGAAACCAGGCGGCGCTTGTAGGTGCTGTTCATGGGCAGGGACCATACTCAGCGGCGGCCGAGAGTCTGCAGAGCGCCGGTGCGGGGATCGGAGGTCCTCAGGTTGCTAGCGGATTTTCGTCGAGCAATGATGCCGTGACATCTGAGCTGAACGCTATCTACTGCAAAATCAAGAACCTGCTTGATCGGCGATCCCAGTACATAGAGCTTTCTTTGCAGGGACCCGGAAATGATCCCAAGGACCAAACAGACTGGGAGATATATCCTCCGCCTCCAGAACCTGCGTGGGATGATGGCAAAGAATATCAACCCGGCAGCGTCGGTGGCCCATCGGACCTTGCAGGAAAGAAGAGGAAAATGGGCCAAGACATTGGGGAGGATTTTGACATGGAGGAATTGATGCCTCTACCCAAAGAATCACCTTGGACCTTTAGGCTGGATGGCAACAGCGTATATCAGGTCTTTGATTCTGAGACTGACCAGCAAACACCCATTGTCCAGATCCCCTCGTTGCGCGATTTCTATATGGACCTGGACGCCGTTGTGGATGTGTCGACCGACGGACCTGCTAAAAGTTTTGCGTTCAAGCGGCTGTCGTACTTGGAGGGCAAATTCCAATTGTATACGCTGCTCAATGAATACCAGGAGATTGCCGACAGCAAGAAGGTTCCTCACAGAGACTTCTACAATGTGCGTAAAGTGGATACCCACGTTCATCATTCGGCATGCATGAACCAGAAGCATCTCCTTCGCTTCATCAAGAGCAAGATGAGAAAGTCCCCGGACGAAGTTGTCCTTTTCCGAGACGGAAAACATCTGACCTTAAGAGAGGTCTTTGAGAGTATCAACTTGACTGCTTATGACCTGAGCATTGATACTTTGGATATGCACGTAAGTCTCTCATCACATCCCTCTTTGATTCTTCGAAATCTACACATGATAAAGGAAGATGCAGGCTGAATGCACCAGTATTTGCTCATCCCCCGCTCCCCTACGCCCATTCTTGAAAGCCACAAGTATTACTATTACTGATATTGACTTCGTAGGCACACACCGACTCTTTCCACCGATTTGACAAATTTAATTTGAAGTATAATCCAGTTGGAGAATCCCGACTGCGTGAAATTTTCCTCAAAACAGACAACTACATCGAAGGTCGCTATCTCGCAGAGATCACTAAGGAAGTGATTTCAGACTTGGAATCTAGCAAATACCAAATGGTGGAATGGCGCATCTCGATCTACGGTCGTTCCCTTCAGGAATGGGACAAGCTTGCGGCCTGGGTGGTGGACAACAAGTTGTTCTCGCCTAATGTTCGCTGGCTGATTCAAGTACCTCGTCTCTATGATGTCTACAAAGCAAGTGGCATGATGGAGAACTACGAACAAGTCATCACCAATGTCTTCCAGCCGTTGTTTGAAGTGACCAAAGATCCTTCTAGTCATCCCAAACTTCATATCTTCCTCCAGCGAGTGGTTGGATTCGATAGTGTGGATGACGAAAGTAAGCCCGAACGCCGGCTGTACAGAAAGTACCCCATCCCCCGGGAGTGGAGTACCAAGCAGAATCCGCCTTACACCTATTGGTTATACTTCATGTTCGCCAACATCGCTTCCCTCAACAACTGGCGGAAACGTCGAGGATTTAACACGTTTGTTCTACGCCCTCATTGCGGAGAGGCAGGCGACCCGGATCATCTGGCTGTAGGATTCCTCTGCTGCCACAGCATCAGTCATGGTATCTTGCTGCGCAAGGTACCTCTCCTGCAATACCTTTACTATCTGGATCAGATCGGTATTGCCATGTCACCACTCAGCAACAACGCTTTGTTCCTCACATACGATAAAAACCCCTGTGCTAGCTTCTTCAAGCGAGGACTCAACGTGTCTTTGTCCACTGATGATCCATTGCAGTTTGCATTCACAAAGGAGCCTCTCATCGAGGAATACTCAGTCGCAGCACAGATCTACAAATTCAGCGCAGTCGACATGTGCGAACTCGCCAAACATTCAGTCGACCAAAGTGGATTTGAGCTCTCCCTCAAAGAAAGATGGCTCGGCTCAAACTGTTCCATGCCTGGAGTCGCTGGCAATCATGTTGCAAAGAGCAATGTACCAGATATTCGTGAGGCATTCCGACATGAGACTTTGCTCGGAGAATTGTCCTTGTAAGTTACCCAGGATGTCTTTTGTATCAAGGAAATGGGGCTAACCATACATCGCTTCATCAGGATCGAGCGATACTCCGATGTTACTAGAACCGGAGATCGAAAGGGCTTGGCTCTAGGTCCACCAGGGGAAGCGGTGTCCTCGAAGCATGGTATATATCTATCTTTGAGGGAATGATCGGAAATTACGCAGCAGACTGACTTCGAAATGACCCATTCTTAGATCAACATACACCTAACCTCGAGTCGCAATCTGAGCTACGATCAAGTGCGGCTGACACTACGGATACCTCACCCAGTGAGGCCCATAGTACAAGCCAGATGGCTACCTCCCCATTGACTCCATCGACATACCTAGCTCGATCACCTCGCCTTGGAACGGGTGAGTTCTCATCTCCCGGCAGTAATCCTGCCCTCGGGACAGGTGTTGGGGGATCAGATAGTCTGCCAGAGCAGGGGATTTTCCCGGGCATCTTTCATGAGAGGGCTCAAAAGGGAAGTATCTAATAGAATTTACACGTAACGTGAGTTTAAGTGACATTTATCACAGACTTAGGGGGAGAAAGCAATATATTGGAGCAATTTACAGACAGGGAAATTGACAGCTCACTCTCTCGAGTTAAAAACCAAACGTGAACACCTTGAGACACCTGTAGACAATAGTGTCCTAGTAAAGCACTCTAGACATGTACAATCCTATTAAAAGAAAAAAAAAAAAAGCTCAACGCCAGACCAAATTGCCCACAAGTGTGAATTCAATATGCACCCATTTATATCACCAAATGCACGCTTCTCAATCATAACATAGAAATTAAAATCTTCCAAGTCTTTCAATTGCCCCAGCTGCCTCTTCGCCCTGGCGGTCCCCAGCCTTCGAGATTGGTATCTTCTTCAGCCATGCCGGGCTCCTGCCTCGCCCATTCCTTGATGTATAGACGGAGAGCCTTCCATCGTGCACATGCATCCGCGAGATCGTTATTCTTGGGGGCTACAACGTAGCCTCTAGCGTCAATTTGCAAGTCATCCCGGCGAAGATCCTGGAGGGGGATGCCCGAAATTCGGCTGAGTTCATAATCATAATAGCGAGCAAGGCACGGATAACCCAGAGACAAGTAATTATAAATCTGAGTCACAAATCCATCATGGAATTCAGCCTCGACGGCTTTCTGGAGACTAGGGCTCACGGGCTTCCGGAAACTATGATTTCCGGGCGAGGCGAGACGATCCAGATGTGTATGTGAGGGAGATGGGCTAAGTCCCATGGCAATGCCAGCCTCATCGACACGAGGCATGGGGGTAACAATGCCAGGTAGGAGACCATGCACTTCCCGCTTCTGGCCCTCGTCCCTGCAACAAGTGCCCATCCAAAGACCAGCACCCTTTCCGCCATCTCGAGGAGGCGCTGCGTACCATAAGCCACCACAGCCAGTACAAAGATCATGTACACCACGAGAGGCTGCATCAGTGCTAGGGTGCTCACATACTGTTCCCTCGGGTGAGGCGCTTCGAGGAATGACCATGTCATTGCCAAGCATGGGTGGGCTCTTGCCATTTTTATTGTGCTCTGATGAAGAATTTGGTTGTCCAGATGCAACCATCGCCCGGATTCTCATCTCAGCCTCCTCCTTGTGGTGGCGCATGTACTCAAGTTCCCAGGACAAATCTGCCGAAGATTGTCGTCGGGACTTGACATGATGATACTTTATATGAGACACATCATCGTCCGAATCTCTATCACCTTCGTCGATGGCAAAATGATCTACAGGCTCGTACACTTGCTCGTTGGGAAAAGCAGCCAGTGCTTGCTCCTTCAACTGTTTTTGTGCGGATCGAGCGGCAAGAGAGAGCAAGAATTCGGAGATCTTCCCATCGCAGCTTTCACGGGGTAGCTTGCTCGAGGATAAATCCCGTGTCACTTTATTGGAAGGCCCAGGCGAAGTGCATGCCGAATGAGATCTGGAGTTATCTGATTCTTCGCTGCTATCAGAGGGGATCGATGGGAGATCCGGAACTCGGAACGAGTGTCTGCGGGCTTGTTGTCGGCGTAGAAGATTCGAATACGAAAATTGAGATTCAGATGGCAGATGGGTGCGGGTATGGGGGTCTGGATCTACCCACGATGTCGTCTTTGGACAAATGATTGTATGGGGTGCAGAAGACACATATTGGGGAAACCGAGGAGGTTCCCCTTTTCGGACGGAGCGGGTGTCGGTTTCTATCAGATCGAGTTTGAATCTTCTTGGAGCCGTCGGTGTCTTGCTATAAGACGCAGAATTCCTCTGTGCCTCAGAATTGGAATGAGACCGTCTATTACTAGATTTGCTTGTTTCAATCGGTTCAGGGAGGAATCTTCTCGGTCGATTTTCAGGCTCTTTTGGATGGATTTCGGGCTTTGATAAAGGTTGATTTGCTCTCAAAGCTGGCTGAACGTTGGAGCTTCGTACGGTTTCGATTGGCTGAGCCAGGAACCTTCGAGGGATTGATACTTGACTTGAAATTGTAGATCCGAGCTGTTGATCCGAAGAAATTGGCTTCAGATGAAGTTCTGTAGGTTGACCTTCATTTCCATCCATGTGTTTCCCATCTTCTGGGGAGCCCATTGTCCAATTCCCCTAAACAAAGAGAACAGAGGTTTTAGTCTCTTATCGGGGTTATGCGGGGTCAAAAGAGCGGTCTCGTAGAGAAAAGGTCCGAATACATTTAAAGGGAAAAGGAAAAAGAATGAGGTTATAAAATTGAAAAGAGTGTCAAAGACCAAAGAGACCTAAGCTATATACAAAAACAAAAGACTTTTAAGGACGGGGAGAGAACGGGTGGGCAGGTACACCTTTTGATGACATCAGCTCATAAGATAAGTCCCCGATAAGAAGATAACATTTCTTCCACTTCATATATGCAATAATATGCATTCTAATGAAAAACGGAAATTCGAGGAGACAGATCCTCAAGTCTCAAAACAACGGAAGGTAATAGGACCTTCTCTTCCTCCTCAAGCCGACAGTGGCAGTGAGACTAGCAGTGATGATGATTTCGGTCCAAGCCTTCCTCCATCCGGTCCATTGAAAGACCCTGTTCACATACAGCCTACGGATTCTGGATCGAAATTGGAAAAGGAAAGCCAGCGAGATCAATGGATGCTGCAACCACCTTCCCATTCCGACTGGGCTTCCAAGATTGACCCCACACAACTACGAAATCGCAAGTTCAATACAGGCAAATCTGCCACAGCACCTAAGAGCATGGATTCCTCGTGGGTTGAGACTCCAGAGGAGCGAATGAGGCGACTGCAGGATGCAGTTATGGGCGTTGGTACTTCAACAAATCAGGAGGATCATCAAGGTGCTTCAAACGCAAAGTTGATGGAGGATCAAATCAAGAGATACAAGGTAATCCTTGTATTGGAAACACACCTTTTCTCCATCTGCTTTCTAACATGAGTGTAGGACATGACTGGGAAGAACACTCGCCTAGAAAATCCAGGTGCTCAGCAAGAAGATGATGATCCAAGTGCGCGCGCGTTTGATCGAGAGAAGGATATGGCAGTTGCTTCGAAGATATCTAGCGCACAGCGCCGGGAGATGGTAAAGAAAGCTGCGGACTACAACACACGTTTTACAAAGGGCAACTTTTTATAATAACCTTGTGTACTTACGAATGATCTATCAATCAGTCTCGCGAGAAAAGAAGGTAGTTGGTGCCTTGGTGTCTGCAGTTTTCTAGTTGTAATGATGATCTTCCTCAGTATCCACGACTACCCTATATTAATCTACTACCCGTTATAGTAGGCTAGCTAATAATATAGTCTCTAGAACCGCTACCCGCCATAGCTAGTCGAAATCTATTATGATTTCGGAAGGAATCGTTTCTATAACCCCTGAGGGCTCGCCGCCTCGGCGATCTCCTCTTATGATATTGTCGACTTTCGGATTTAATTACGATCGTCGGAACAAATCTGATATCAATAAGATCGTCCTAAAGTTAAAGGGAGAAATTGTAAAGGCTGAATCAACTTTTACAATCTAAGGCTTCATTGATACCCTAGGAACCTTTATACTAAGTGTTTCTTTCGTAATTACAAAGGTAAAGGGTAGGCCTTGACAAGTCCCGCAGCACCGGTGCTAGACCTGGTAGTGACCCGCGGGTGACCCTCACGACCCTCGAACCGCCCTAGTGGCGGTTCGAGGGTCCAACCTTCCGACCCTAAGGGTAGTCCACCTAGAGGTTAAACCCTCGGAGGGTCACCCGCGGGTGACCCTAAGGGCCGTTAAACGAGATAAATAGGCAAATCTCGTGATATATATAATTTATATAGATTTGCCCTATATTTTTAAGTATCCTGATTATATGTCCGAAGTTCTTTAATATGAATTTTTAGTGATATATTTTTATAAAAACTTGTGTTATATTCTTAAACCTAGTTCCTATCTACTAGACTAGACTTCGGCACAACCCATTCTAACCCGGACCCAACCCAACCCAACCCAAAGTGGGTTTTGGGTCCATTACTTCGACCCAACGATGGGTAACCCATTGGGGCCCCAATATAGTGCAAACAAAACAAACAAAAAATTTATATAACTATTCGGTAAGCGAGCTGGCCATGTAAGCCAGCTGGCCACCTCACCCAAAATTGTCCGTTAATTAGCACTTCATTAATTCAACCACCCACCATGCCACCAATTCGCTCTTAAAGCTCTCGAAATTCAATAGAGTAAGAGGGTAGGATATTATTAGCTATTCAGGCTTTTCAAAAGCAAGAAATCTCATCAATTCGTGAAGTGGCTGGCCTATTTAACGTACCCCGTTCCACCCTTACTACGCGCCTCAATAGTGTCAGAAATCGCGCGAATTCTCGCGTAAATTCGCAGAAATTGACATAAACCGAGGAGGAAACTCTTCAAAAATGGATTCTTTCTATAGACTCTCGTGGATCTACCCCCCGGCCTTCTACTATACGAGAAATAGCGAATCTTTTACTTCAACAACGCGGAACCACCCCGGTTATTTCGGTCGGCGAAAAATGGGTTTATAACTTTATAAAACGACACCCTCTCCTCTCCTCCCGATTTTCGAGACGCTATAATTACGAACGTGCGAAGTGCGAAGACCCGAAGATCATTTAAGAGTGGTTTACACTTATTTAAAATACTATCCTTTAATTTAGAATCGACCCCGATAACGTTTATAACTTTGATAAGACTAGTTTCGCAATAGGGCTAATCGCTACTACGAAGGTGATAATAAGGAGCGAATTCTACGGTCGACGCTCGCTTTTATGACCTGGAAATCGCGAATAGGTGACTACTATTAAGTGTACAAATTCGTCGGGTTAGGCCCTCCCTCCGTGTATCATTTTTAAAGGCAAAGTCTTTATTAAATCATGGTTTAATGGCCTTCCGGATGACTAGCGATTTAAAGTTAGTCCGAACGGTTAGACCTCTAATAAAATTGGACTTCGTTAGCTTAAAAAGCTCTTTATTCCTAGCACTTCTTCGCGTACGAAGGGGGGTATCGTCTCCTAATACTCGACGGATATAGAAGCTATTTAACCCCTAAATTCGATGAAATTTGCGAGCAAAATAAGGTTATACCAATTTATATGCCTCTACACTCCTCTTATCTTTTATAACCCCTAGATATCGGTTGTTTTGCTATGTTAAAGCGATTATATGGTCGGCTAGTTAAAATGAAAATGCGGAACGGGATTAACTATATCGATAAACTTGACTTCCTCGATATATACCCCCTCGCACGAATTAAAGCTTTTAAATCGGAGACTATTAAAAATAGCTTCGGAGTGGCTAGTTTAGTACCTTTTACACCTAATCGAGTGATCTCGAAGCTAAATATTCATATTCGAACCCTAACCCCCCTCTAAGCCGGGGTAGCGAATCAAGCCGGAATTTCACACTAAAAACACTAGCTATAGAGAAAGAACTACGTCGATAGGCTTCCTTAATTAAAGCTTTACTTCGTATAAGATCTCGAAGTCCTCTAAGCCCGTTAGATCGTGTATTAGACTAACTTATAAAAGGCTTCCGTCTCACAATGCAAGGTGCTATACTACTCGCTAAAGAAAATAAGGAATTACGCGCTAAAAACGAGAAGAAGAAGTAAAAGCGGACCCGATCTTCAAGGTATATAGATCACGAAGGAGATCTTTTAGTTTAGGAGGTTCGTGAGCTACGTTCAGAGCCATTTAAGGCCCAAGTAGCGCGTATCAATACCTATCGTGAGCGGGTTTCGGAGGGTTTACAGCCAGCTATATAGGCCGGGCGAGCGTGTGGAATATACAGATTACCGGGACATAGAAGAGAAACCTGTCCAGATAGATAAATCAATTTAATTGAATTAATTTAATGGTGTTTTGGTTGAGATAAATCAAGTTGAATTTAATGGGCTGGGTGAGGTGGCCAGCTGGCTTACATGGCCAGCTCGCTTACCAAATACGTTAGTTGAAATTCAAAGATTTAAATATATATATATCTAGCATAGTAACTTAATTTCAAAATAAAAACAAATGTATATAAAAAGCATTTTATACTATTAAAAAAGTATATTTTAAAATGCCAAGACTTGGATTTTATGAATTTTATGAATTTTTATGTAAAAATGGGTTCAAATGGGTTATTATTGGGTTATTGGGTTGGGTTGGGCTATAGAGGGCGGAACATTGGGTTGGGTCGGAGTCTCCGACCCAAAATGGGTTCTGCCGAAGTCTACGCCGGTAGTTCCTAGGCCCTAGCGCCTATTCTCTAACCTCGGTTAGAAATCCTCTTAAAGTAGGGGTCTCTCCCTCTTTTATAACCGTGTTTAGAAACTTAGGCTAGGGGGAGACTAGTAGCGTGCACGGGTAAAGCCCGAGCTCTAATACTAGCACTTAGACTGCGACATCGCCCGTCCACGGTGGGCGGTGGGCTATTTGGATTTTCGAGTGCCCGTCCATAACGCCCACCGCCCACGGGCATGCCCATCGCGGGCATGCCCACTACGCCCACCATTATATAAAGTTGTCTTAAATATATATAAAAATTAGATATATAGTAAATTATACTATATATATTTATATATATCTCATTAGAAATCCGGAATTATGATTGTAAATATGTAAAAAATACAAATTTAGTTAAGATATTTTGAAATCTGTCAATAACAATCACGTGTTACGCTAATTTTGCTTACTAAAAAGGCCCACGGGCGCCCACGGTGTCCATGGACAATGGGCCCTAAGGGTAGGGCCCGTCCATGGGCGATGTCGCAGTCTACTAGCACTAGCCTATTACACTAACTAGAAGCTATCTAACTAGTAGCCTTAGCTGTTTTCGAATCCGCCCTAAACGGCCTAGTATACTCCTATCCACCGGTATCTCTAGAAGCTTATTGTCCTCTTTAACAGCGTCGTATAGTCGTTTTTAAGGTTGTTTTCCTTTTACCCGTCTACGTCGCTCGGCACTATTATTATCCGAGTTATTATCACCGCTCTTAGTGTGTTAGGTAGCCTCGAGTCTAGTCTCTTAATCCTCCTCCTCGTTATCACTAATATACTCTAAGACCTTAAGCTATAGTAATAATCTCCGGGTTTAATCTAGTAAAGTAGCTTTACCTTAGGATAGATGCTCTTTAATAATCCCTAGCTCCTCTTACCGAAGATTAAAGTTAGTAGTAAACTAATATAGTATTAGGCCACAGATTGTACTCGGCTTTAATTAACTATAACGGTAATAATAGATATCACGAGCATAATTAAATAGTCGTTTAACACTAGCACCACTAGTAGGGATAGATAGAATATCCTTTACTATCCTTACTAGGGTCGGGAAGCTCTACTTATATTCCTTCTAGATAAGTCGAGGTTTCTATCGCTTAGTTCCACGAGTAAGATATCGTGCAATCTCGTTATTATCTAGTTTTATAAGCTCTTCTAATAGCTAGTTTTAGGATATATAAGTAGTATTAAGATTATAGTCATTATTCTTATTAATAGCTACACTAGAAGTCTCTAGTGCCGCTAGGTCATTAGTATTATAGGTAAGTATCTTCCTATATCGATTAAACTCTCGGTTTAGGACCTCTTAATAACGATTTATATAATTAATATCGCCCTACTAATTAATTAGTCGAGGAAAAGTACCGGAGCTTCTTTAATAGAGAGAAGATTATTACTAGAGCGTAGATATCACTATAAGGCTTATATTCGGTGGTAGTATAGTACTTAGAGAGCTTTTTCTTTACTATTTAGAGTGCCTATAATATCCGTTTCTTCTAGATCACACCTTTATTCTTAAGCTTCGCCTCGGCTATATCGAGATAGGAGAAAAGCTTATTATAGATACTATAGATATTATATACGGTAATATCCTTAGTCTTTAATAGTATTATTATGAAATTAAAGAAGGGCTTTATTAGAAGAAGAAGATATTCGACTTAACGCTACTCTTCTTAATCGAGCTTAAAATAAAGATATTAATAATTAGTATAATACTAATTATAGAATAGCTAGAGCTTCTTAGCCTAGTTAAGTATTAGAAATGTTAAGTTCTATCGTGTCCGAATATCTTAGATTAGAATTAATATAGGCTCCGGCTAAAGGGCTATTGTTATGGGGCCGTCGTACTTCGTACGAAGCCCTATGGAA